AACATAAGAGAACTTAGTGATTGAAGAAGAGGAAAAGAAAACCATAAAGGACAGTTTTGGATTGGCTAGTGGAGTCTGGTGTAAATAGCAGAGGTTCTTTTTGATGCATTTCTTTTAGAAACTGCCCCGGGACTCCTGTGGTGTTTGCTAATGCATATGCTAGTATCCGTAGGGTCTTTGCAGCTCACTCCACTTGCTGTGATTCCTAGACTTCTGTACTTCAGAACACTGAACTTGAGGAGATCTGAAGCAATTTTGTGTTTTGCATTTGTTTTTATTAGTTAGTTTTAACTTTCCTTTGACACCCATATCTACATGTTAATTTAGAGTTCTTTAGTATTATACACAGGAGTAGTATAGCTACTTTACATGACAGTTCATTTTTAGTTTTCTCAGGAATTGCCACTTATTTATAGTGGCTGTACATACATTATTACATTCTTTTTCTGAATGAATCAATTTTCCATACACTATTCTAATCACAGTTTCCCCTCCCCTTTGGTCATTGACTCAACTAGATGTAACTCATTCCTGGCACTGGAGGTTTCACTCAGGGGTGAAAGATGTCTAGTTGGAGCATTGTCTTCCCTGTTCTTCGGTGACTCCATTCATAGTTATTCTTATATGTGTATATTATAAAAAGCTTCTACAGTAGTAGATTTCCATATGACCCCTCAAATGACCCTCATTGTTAGTTATCTTTCTTCATATTCACTTCCTTACCCTGTCTTGCATCTCCCTTCCCATTTAATCTTCTTATCCTTGTCACACCCCTCACTGCATCTCTCCAGTATGCTATTATCCTCTTCTTGGGGGATCCTCTTTTCCCTCCTAGTTCCTTACTCGATACCTAACCTTTGTGATTATATGGATTGAATCACGCTTATCGGAGACTTAAAAGCTAATATTCACATGTAAGAGAAAATGTACAATATTTGTCTTTTGGGATCTGGGTTACCTCACTTGAGTTTTTCTAGCCCCACCCATTTACCTGCAAATTTAAAATTTTGTTTTTTTTTTTAAACTGTTCACTAATATTCCATTGTGTAAATGTACCACATTTTTATTAGCCACTCATCAGTTGATGGACATCTAGGCTGTTTCCAGTTTCTGGTTCTTATGAACAGAGCAGCAGTGGACATGAATGAGCAAGTTTACATTCTTATTGACACAGTGATAGAAGATTATTTCTTGTCCCCATCTTCACCATCCTTTATCATTTGTTCTCTTGACGACAGCCATTCTGACAGGTGAGATGGGATCTCAGACACATTTACTTTACATGCCTGCTGGCTAAATAGTCAATGTTTCAGCTCTTTGTTTTCCTTTTAAAAGGCATCTGTTCAGTTCACTGGTTCACTGGTTCATTTATTGACCCGTTGACTTTTTTTTTTTTTGTATTTGCTTATGTGTTTAGACATGATCTTATATACCATAGGCTTTCCTCAAACTCATGATGAAGCAGAAGATGACCTTGAATTTATTGATCATCCTACCTATATTTCTTGTGCTTGGATTACAGATGTATGCAGTGGATAGAATCCAGCACTTGTGAATGCTAGGCAAGCACTCTACCAACTGAGTTCTACTGCGAGCCTTTTTGGTATTATTTGTCACTCTATATATTCTGGACATTAATAACCTGCCTGAGGTATACTTGGCAGAACATTTTCTGTAGGCAGGGTTGTGTTCTCAACTGTTTTCTGTTGTTTGCTCTTTTCAATTGTCACTGCCTACTTAGGGCAATATTTCACTCTGGGGTGGTGGCAGGTTATTTTCATACACCTGACTTCAAGGTGTATTCTGCTTTCAGGCTCCCACATCTCAGGATGGTGCCTACTCATGGACCTTGAAGTCACACAGTATGACAGAATAGTTCCTCTCCACTGCAGACCCCTCCTTCAGTAGGATTTGAGTGTGTGACTGCTATGGGCTTGTTCTGAGTCTGGTCTCTTCACCAGGTCTCCAGGGCTAATCCTTTGGATGAGGCTTTTATTTCCCTTGCTTCTGCCAGGGAACTAGCTGCTAGAGGTGTTTGGCTTGGCTGCTTTGGGCTGTGTTGCTTTTCTTATTTCCCACATATTTGAGCTGTTGTGTCGCTCACTGCCTGTGTGAATACTGGAAGCTCTTCCTCTTCTGTCTTTGGAATAGTCTGCTCTTTCTTATACTGATTTTATTAGCTGGATCATATGGAGTGCCTTCTAGTTAGCCATCTTTCTCAAAACTACCAACGTTTGCATTTAATCAGCATCCATTAGTTTTTCTGTGTGCATACATTGTGTCGAGAAGGTGTGGAGATAAGCCCCACAAAGTCCCCACCCTTAAGATTTTGAAACACATGGAAATGCCTGGTGAGTGAAAGTGAACATAGCAGTGAAGAATAATTTAAGAAGTAGGTACATTAAATTCAGTTACCAATGCTTTGTCATGTGTGCCTTAAGATGAGCTAGAATGCTAACACTGCTTACTTCACCTGGAGTAGGTTAGAGAAGGGTCAAAGGTCTCGTCCATCTGCTGAACTTGGCCAGGCTGTGAAGTGTTTTCTGCAATGCCATTCTGGTTACTGATTTACGAGGATGCCTGCACTTGTAACGCTTCAACTTGCTTTAGAGTAGTGATGCAGTGAACTCAGACGGAGGCCTTGAATAGAAATGCAGTTGATACAGAAGAATTGTGCATCAGACTAATAATATTTCTGTCTAAATGAAATTATGTATTTGGAAGCTGTTAGAAAACTCAGTAAACTTCGGAATTTTATGTCAGTCAGTGTGTTTGACAGCATACACTTCCTCTGATCGTCTTTCCCAGCCAAAGTCCTAATCATACATACTTTGTAGATACCAAGTCAGCCTCTGCAGTAAAAAGACTTAAGGCCAGTTATCAGTGATTGAATATGCTTCAGTCCAGCAATTTTGATATTTGAAAAATCATTAAAAAGAAACAGTATTCAGGTGAATGATAATCCTTTGAACTGTTATAGGCCTGAGTATATCTTCATTTTTGAAGATCAGCAAATATATACTATCAAAATGAGTGAATTTAAAATTGTATTTAAAGAATCTGAAATTAAATATCTGAAGTATAAGAAATATATTACAAAAAATTTAAGAAATACAGAAACCAAGAATCTGGTACGTATAATTTAGGTACATGTATATTTATTTATATTTGTATCCGTAATACTGAAAAATAGTTTTTCTAAAGCCTAGTCCCATGTACTATGTATTATAGACTTTGTTTTTTGTTAATTATTATTCCTGCTTTCATATGGAATCTCACTGTGTACCTCATGCTGGCCTGAACGTTCAATCTTTCCTCATTAGCCCCCGAGTGCTGCGATTACAAACTTGCCATTCTTCCTGCACCCACTCTTCTCTTTTCAAAATACTTTCCTCAGATATAGTATTCAAAGAGTAATGTAAAAATCTGACTTATTTTAGGAGCGAAAATGTTTCCATTATTACTGGAGTAAAGGTCAGTAAATAAGGCCGTGCATTTGGTTATATTCGTCAATGGCAATACATTGAGAAAACTTGTTTCCTATAAGTTGAAAGCACACATGGATTAGCCAAGAAAAATTCTGTATTAATTAGTTGAAGGGTTTTAGAGACTCCATGTTAATTAATATAGATTTTTTTTGCAGTCTTTTATAGTTTATTGGAATTAAGAAGGGCTGTCAAATTGTCAGGGAAAGAATGAGCTCTTACTGATTAACATTGACTTTAATTCTAGCTTTGCCACCAATGACCACATTGTAGAGTACTAATGTGGTTCATCTGTTTGTCCCAAGACATAATCTGAAAGCACTTTCATTCTGTGAGCTAAAGAGTGACTCTGACTGGGCCTCAAGTCGTTAGAATTTTCTAAGAATATGCCTGATGAGAAGAACACATATTTCAATGGGAATTACTAGTTTAACAGTTACATTTGAAAAGGGATACGTGGGTTATATTCAGTTTAACATGTTTATTGGGCAGAAGTGATTCCTGTGCTGTGAAACCATTTCAAAATTATCTTGATATCTCCAAGACCCCCCTACATGTTTTCACATGATCCGTGGCTGTTAAATTAGGGGCAGATCCCTGGTCTCGAGGATTCCTGTTGTCTTTGGATTGCAGATTATTGGGGAGCAGCTCTTGGCTTACACAGAACTAGAGATTCCATTTTAACTTATGTGTACAGCCACTAATGAAGGTGACTATCCTCAGAGTAGAGATCTCCAACCCTGAGAAACTAACAAGGTGAGATTCCCCCCAACCCACCCATCCCCCCACTGAAATAGGCACAGCTCTGTAGAAGAGGATCCCTGAACTATAGGTTGAGGTGTAGTAAGATGCTGTGACTCTTGACCCTGCCAGAAACCAGCTTTTCCTTTGCAACAATGTGTAAAGCATTGTTGACTCTGGTTATTTTCACTGCACCCTACAGAGGTGGATGGGAATTTATAAGACCTTTGGGTTCTAAGGCAAGGGAGGAGAGCTAACCATTGTTTTGTGGCACACTTCCTTCATGTTTAGCAGGCAAAATTTTTTATTTTGTGATTTCTTCATTTTTGTTTTCTGTGTATGAGTGTTTGTCTGCATTTATGAATGTACAACACATGGGTGCCTGGTGCCTGTGGAGCCTGAAGAATGGGTTGGATCCACTGTTGTAAGCTGACATGTGAGTTCTGGGATTCAAACCAAGGTCTTTTGCAAGAGCAATAATTGTTCTTAACCACTGAGCCATTTCTCCAGCCCCATCACTAGGAATTTTTGTGAATGATGAATTAATACTTTACTAGACATTGTATGCATTGTGATTTATTTAAGCTAAAAAACTGCAAAATATTGAAATTGTTTTGAAGTACACAGAATTATTTTTATGTAGAAGTACAGTAATACTAATAAGTTCTCCATTCTGTTCTTCTTCTTCTTCTTCTTCTTCTTCTTCTTCTTCTTCTTCTTCTTCTTCTCCTTCTTCTTCTTCTTCTTTCTTCTTTCTTCTTTCTTCTTCTTCAGTGTGTCGAGATTTTGCTGTCCTGGAGGACCACACCCTGGCTCATAGTCTGCAGGAACAAGAGAGTGAGTACCAGTTCTAATTCATGAGCCTGCAGCTTTCTCTTTAGTGGCAGCTTGAGGCTGGTTTCTTCCTGTGAGGTAAGGAGAAAGTCAGTAAGTATACCTCATATTTACCCTGAAGGATAGGTCTTGGCAAATGAGAAGGGTAAATAATGAATTCTGCATGTTTTGAAGTGAGTCAGGGTAAGAATAGTGTTTACTGTCTGGAGGAAAAGGACACACAATCCCTTCCTTAGGAGGGAGACAGTGGTAATATATCTGTAGTATGTCAGAGGCTTGCCCTTGGACTAGAAACAGGGACATTTTCCACAGGCAATACTAGCGTCTATGTTAAGTCACACTGTGGACTTGTTTGTTGTTTGAGATAGGGTCTCCTGTAGCCCAGGCTGATCTGAAACATCCAATGTAGTCTAGGGCGATCTTAGAAATCTGATCCTCCTGCCTCTGTGTCCCATGTGCTGCTGGCATTACAGGCATGTAACACCACGCACCCAGTTGATGCCATGCTGAGGATAGGACCCAGGGCTTCCTGTATGCTAGGCATGCACTCTGCCAACAAAGATGTCATCCCAACCCCACATGGGGAGTTTTTCTGAATACTTATTTAGTCTTGTAGTGGAAAGTAAAACTCAATTAGATGGCAATTTATGAATTCATGATTTGTGAGTTCTTGGAATGGCAAGAGAGTTTAGTAGAAAGAACAAAAAGAGCAGTGGCCAGCTTAGTGTGTCTGTATAGACATCCTGGCATTGCTACTTTTATGTCACATGATCAAAGGCAGTGACTTACTCCTTTCGGTATTTTTATTCAGTGGAGTAATTTCTAAAGTGCTTTTATCTATTGTTAAAAGCATAAAATGGAGTGGTGGATATATGGCGAGGTTCTTCTTAAATTAGTTAAGAGTTTATTAACCAGTCAGCATGTTGTAACTCCTCTTTCAATGGTTCTGTCCAGTTGAGCATCATTTGGCATCAAACATTCAGCGGAACCGTCTGGTCCAGCATGACCTGCAGGTGGCTAAGCAGCTCCAAGAGGAAGACCTGAAAGCCCAGGCTCAGCTCCAGAAGCGCTACAAAGACCTGTGAGATCTGGGGAATGGTGTTGAGATGAGGCCTGCCTGTGGCACCGGCAGCTGGGGCAAGGAGGGGCCCCTCCTGGCTCTGTTTCTTTTCTGGCTGCGATTACAAATTGGGTGGTGGCTGTCCGGAAATTTTCTTTGGAATTTTTTTTGTTACTGAAATATGCATTGGGTAGTGTTAGTCACAGTAGGCACACTTTTAGCTCTATGACTTTGAGCTGATTGGTTGGTCTCTTTCAGTTTAGTCTTTGTACCCATGTCATGAAGAAAATAATCTCTTCTCTTCTGACTGTAAGCTTGTTTGGGGAAAGCACTGGAACAACGGGCACCAATTCCTTGTGTGCCATCGTGGGCTCCTTTAGTTTTCGTCGCCATGTTTGCTGCTCCATCTTTCTTTGATTGCTTTGCTTTCCAAGAAGCTCAATGTTCTAGAAAGCACTGAGTTGTAGTATGATAGGTTCGAAGTGCTAAATGTGAGAAATGCCACCTTTCTTCATTGGACCCCAAGGGTGGGGGCTCCTAGGAAGCTAGAAATAGTGGCTTTCAGCCTTTGGTTCCTGGCTAGCTGGCACAGCAAACATTTTAATTAATGGTACCTTTCACTCTGATAGAGACCTTCAGCTACTTCTGAGCCAGGGTGACCAGTATTGACCTCTCTATGCTCAGGTAGTCCTCCTTCCCCATGGCTCTGTATATTTAGCCCACTGAGCTAGAAGTAGCCCTGCCTCGAAGCAGGCTTTGAAGTTGTGAAGCTAACCCTGAGCTACACTTTCATGTCTTCTGTGTCACGTGTGACCTTTGGAATTTTGATCGGCTTTCCACACTGTGCTTCTGCCTTCTTCCTGTTCCTTATCACCTTGTTTAAGGTTATTCCTTTGTTTTCGTGGGTAAGATCCTAATGTACTTGACCTGGAACATAAAAGTCTAAGCCAATTTTTATAACTTCTTCAGTGGCATGAGAAGTCCTGGCACAGCTCATGTCTGACCGAAATCAGGTCTGTAGACTTTTCATTTAGGGATTGTTTCTTTGCTACCGTGTCTTAAAACAAAGTCTGATGTGAGCTCCTGCACTCCCTTGTTTGTTTTCTACTGCCTTGTGTGTGTATACACATTAGTGTGTGTAGACACACTCCTACTTTTAGATACATCTACCAGTTTCCAAGATTATTCAAAACCAACATTTTGTGATATAATCAAAAATGATTTTTATCTCCTTGGGTTTGTTAGAATCCTTGGGTTTCGGTTGCTCCAGAGAAAGTTAAGGTTCCCCTGACAATACTTTCTAATGTAACATGCTGACTCTGAGTATTGAGTATACAACCATGTCTGAGACTCAAAGAATATTCAAAGTTCAGTTATTAGAGGGAAAATGAGGGGAAATGTATTTTTTAGCAGTTGAACTGCAAATTATAATTTGAATTTTTTCTAGCTTGTTTTGAAGTAGTCATTTCTAAGCATAATTTTGTTCATCTTTCCTAGATGGCTACTTTGTACAAGAGATAACTCCCCAGAGTTATCACATTCTGGAATTTAAATACTCTCATTTTTCTTAAAACCTGAAATCAGAAGACTTTGTACCTAGGATCATATTTTATAGTTACTTCTGAGAGAATCAGACTTCTTCAGGATGCTAGGAGAGATGGCTCAGTGGTTAAGACAACTTGCTGCCCTGGGAGCAAGCTCACATTACCTTCTGTACCTCCATTTCCAGGCATCTGATGATGTCTTCTTGCCTCCTTGGGTACCAGATGTGTATGTGGTGCCTATTCACACATGCAGGTACTGAACACATACACATAAAATAAATGAATATATCTTAAAGGTGCTATTCTAAAGGTTCTTTTTCTCTTACCAAAATGATTGCCTTGGTTTCTCCCATATGAATATATAAAAGACTTACTTTTTTTTGTTTCCTCTGTACTGAGCATTGTGTTGTGTCCATAGTAGTATTGCTTTAATTTTTGTTTTATGTATTAATATGAAAATCAAACAAATAAGCAGAAAACTTAAAAACAAGAAACAGGGATAGCAACAGTGTTTCTAATGTCCAAAGCATTGAGAAAACTGAGATTTTCCAAAGAAGTCTCCAATGGGAACCACAGTTAAGAATGCAAGCTCTTTTTGTCCTTTTAAATTTTAACACATCTTTTAGTGTTCATTTCTAAATTTAAAAATAATGCAGATCATGTTTATTTATACAGCACTTTTAAAATCATACTATTACCACTGATCACAAAATTATTGATGTTTTCATGAGCTTGCTCACATTCTTTTTCTGTGTGCTCTGTATTTGAATATTGGTGGGTATTGATCTCCCGGGCTATACAGCTTCTGTAGAATTCTGGAAGACCCTGTATCTTCTTGTAGAGTGGCCCGGCCCAGTTGGCTGAAGCAATACAGCTTTCATTACAATATCTGAGGGAAATGGCAGTTTTTCACACAGTCAGTTTGTAACCCAGCTTTCTACTTCATTCAGTGGACATTGGTCCTTTATGTCACTGTCATGCAAATTGATTAAAATATGTAACAGCTTGCAGTGAATATTCAGTAAATGTTTCTGCTTAACAACAGTGTTCCCTTGTGTTCTTTGTTTCTATCACCTTTGCCTTTGTTTTATAGTGAACAGCATGATTGTGAAATTGCCCAGGAAATTCAGGAGAAGCTGACTATTGAGGCTGAGAGACGACGCCTTCAGGAGAAGAAGGATGAGGTATGACTTTGGTGAGGGTCTACATCCATGGGAGGGGTTTAGCTCAGTGCAGCCTTTCTGGATGGCAGCAGGACTCTGGAGTGCAGTAGGGCCTAGGTGTTGTTTTCTGTGGACCACTGTTTATGGCTTCTTGATGGCTTATGTTCCTGGGGAAATCTTGCCGTAAAATCTGAGTTCATTTTCTAGTACTACTGAAAGAAGTTATTTCCAGCGTGATGACTTAACAGGATAGGATCTTTCAAAAGCAGGAAGTCTGGCATGAGCTTCTCTGCCCACATCAGCCTCCATCATCATTGGCATAAGCATGAAGCCCATGACTGGTTCGAGGACCCTGTCGTATCCTACATGACCTTAAATGATTATATATATCACAAAGGCCTCAAACGGCCACATTCCCAGCTCTGAGTAAGTGAAATGCTGGGAGCATTCTTCAGCTTGCTAAAACTGTGCATCTGGGTTGCAGCTTTTTCGAGCAAGCCTAGAGTGCAGCTCACACTAGAGTGAGGAGTCAGTTCTTGTGACCTGGCATTATTCTCACGGCCTTTATATGCTAACCTAATGCATTGGATTCTTCTATCCTTTTTAAGTTTGTTTTTAAAGTTGCAATGAATACAGCTGACAATAGTGCTTCGACTATGAGAAGAGGGATTTAATTTGCACATGTTTGCTGCTGTATTGTGTATTTGTAATACTCTATCCTGAGAATTTCATTTGCACTAACTCTGTGTCTACCTTCTTTCACACATCTTAGACTGTTGGTGGTCATCGTAATGACTTATAGCACTGTAGAAAATGATTGGTCAATTTTAATGGCAGGTTTATAGTCTGATTTGTTATATATCCAGAAACACCTGTCATAGCTACAGGGGGTGATGCTAATAATCACATACAGTGGGACTGTTCTGGGCTAATTGACATGTGTCACTTTAGATAGATCAGGGTCATTAGTAAATTAGCCTACATACAAAGAGCCACCTTGACTTCTTAAATATCGTTCAGTGTCACTGAGTGTGAGATATCTAGGTATATGTAGCTATTTGTTAAAGAAATAAACTCTGATTGTCTGATAATTATAGCTACAAGTACGAATTAGGGTTGCCTTCTGATCTACTCTGTTAGTATCATAAGGAACCTTTTCTTACTGCAGGATGCCAAGCCTCTTTATAGTAAATGCTTTCCTTTGGGATGAAACCAGGCTGAAATAAGTAATTGTATTTTATAGAAAGGAAGCTTCTGTCTGTTAAATTAGCAGATGGATTGACCTCTTATAAATGCTTACTTATATTCTCTGACCCTACCTCAATTCAGGAAAACATGGGATAGAAAGGAAAGCCAAACACTTGATTTTAAGTATGTGGGTTCAAGTAAGCAAGGTAGTAATTAATTCCAGTTTGCAGAGCAAGAAAGTGAGTCTTAAATAGTGACTTGGTTCCAAGTTATAGTCAGATGCAAGAGAAATTTGTTTGTTTTTCCTATTTAGTTCTGACTTATATGTACTGTGGCACAATATAAAATATAAAATAGGGATACTCAGGCCTAAATTTTAGCTTTTTTAGCTTTTAACTGTTTGGTGTCCACCTGTTCAGTTTAGTCTGCAGTCTTAGGTTCCAGAGTGGCCCGTCATGTCAGTTGATAGACCTTTGCAACTGAAAGGCTGTGGTAGGGTTTCAGTGAGGTGGGATGTAAGAGGCCTCTGGTGCTTACCAAGTTGATAATTGCTTTCCTTTTAACTTTTGGCTGGTTGGTTTTTCCACTTCCATCCCTTGTAACAATATAGATTCCCTTTCCAGAGTATATATGCAAAATTAGGGGAAATTAAATAAATCTGTTCCATTGTGGTGTGATTTAAGGCTCTTCTTTTCAGACCTTCCACTTGTTTGCCCTCCACTACATTTTGACCTATCTCTCCCCTTACTGTAGTAGAGTCAAAAGTGAACTAAGAAACAGTCAGGGAGATTTCAGCAGCTAAGTCTTTATGATTAGAAATAAAAACAGCCTTCAGATTGTTCACTGCTGAAACTCCTGCCTTAGATCAGGGTGGCTGCTGTGGAAAGAGAAAAGTATGACTTAGTGATTACTGTGTCATCAGTAGTGAATGACCAGTTACATTATTGTCACTGGAGGATGGAATAGCATTCCTCAGAAGCAGAGCAGTGGTTCCAAGTCTCCAGCCTGGCTTTGACACATTTCCTGTCACTAATGAGCTGTCCTGTTTCGTTCTCCTCTCTCCTCCACTTCCCTTTGTCTTCCTGTGGAGTCCCTGAGTCTGCTTGGTTCATTTTTCAGTAGCATGGTTGTGGAAAACTAACTCCTCTTTGGATTTTCACCGGGAACTTTAGAGATGTTGTGTCAACTCTCCTGAGCAGTCTGCCCCTCCTCAAAAAGTAATAAGATCAAAGCCTCTTCCCTCTTGGATCAGAGATATTTTTGTAAACATTGCTGGTCATGAGACATAAGAGAAGTATGCAGTTTTGTGTATGTGAATGGACATTTTCAGCTCTTAGCGTGTTTATGACTGTTGTATGTGTTAGCAGAGCAGATGCAAGCTCAATAGCCACTGTGCGGGGAGACAGGTGGAGAAGGAGGGGCAGGGAGGTTGCTGGTTAGTCTCCATTTCCCTCCCTCCTCCTCCTTTCCCTCCCTCCGTCCCTGTGCATCCTCCTCCTCCATTTCCTCCTTTTCTCTCCACTCTTCCCCTCCCCACAGTCCTCATACTTTTTTCTTTTCTGTTTGAAAACAAAACTCTTAGGTCACATCTTAAATACACTAGTTGAGTTTTCCCTAGGTGCCCAATGGAAAGACTTGCAGCTTTGGGTTGTACTGCACTAGTAGGGTTTGAGGTTCAGGCATATGGATTGGTTCCATATCAGGGGGTATCACTTTGGTCACAGTAGGGACATTTGTTGGTGTTTTTAAAATGAAGCAAAAGAATGTATATTTAGTTGACTTAACTTGGCAATTCTTATAACTCATTGTGTATATATGACATGTATGCTCTTCTCTGTCTCTATCTTTCTGTCTGTGTTTGTGTGTGTAGAGGCATACCATATTTTGTGAATTTAAAGCTTGGTCCAGATGCATGTGATGTGCAACTATTTTAGGCAAGATTTTTTTATTTATGTAAATATTAGCATGGCTAACCCTGTCATGCAAGATTATGGGTCTGGTCTAACAGTTTGAAGCCGTCTGTACTATGAACTGTTATAAACTTAGTAACCAATTTATAATCAAGACGAATCCAATGTGATGTGCGCTATCCATAGTACTTTCAGTGTATTGAGAGCCCATAAAAGTATATTTATATGTTTGTTATTTTGAGAGCAGCTCAAATGGCAATAGATTTTGTTAGTATACTTTTCTGTGATTTGAACTGTAAACTCCTTTATACATACATAGCAATAAGGCTGGGAAGGGGTCTTCTAGTTGAGAAAACCCTGCCTTTTATATCTGAGTGATGTTGTTACATTTATACCTGTATCCTTTTGCAGTTTTCCTAGCTTTAAAGGGTAATGCTTGATATTATATCTGCTTTGCGATGCCTCCTAAATTAGGCATTCATATGTTAAATGCTAACTAAGAAAGTAGACTAGCAATCAAATTGAGTGTTTTGGTGGCCCCACTTTCCCCCTTACTGACGTAATTTAAACCTCATATTTTTAGATCTCTTTTCATTTTTAAGTTAAAAATTTCTTTCATTTAAAACTCATGATGCTTGGAGGACAAAGGCGAAAACCTTAAGGGAGAACTACCCCTGACACATTCCTGTGTATGTGTAGTGTAGAATTTCCCTCCAGTGCTCGGTCCTGTGATTAATAGAGGGTTTCCTCTGGGAAAGCTCTGAGGGCTACCAGAGCTGCATTAGTGACTATCCCGGAGCACTGAGCCACCGTTTCCTATGTTATTCTCCTGTACTGTGGCCATTTGATAGGTGTTGTTAAGGATCCTGGCCTGTATCCGGATTCGCTACTGTCTAGAGCGTGATATTTGGCCCCTTCAAGGGAATCTGTAAATGTATGTTTTCATTGCTTTCTTCCAGCAATCTAGAGATTTTGAACAATGTCTTTCATATTATTGACACTAGAAAAGGGAGAGATGAAGTGTAATAGCAGACTTACATTCTAACTAATATGTTTACTTACCACATAGTCTTCTGTAAATGACTTCTTTCTGCAGATTTGCCCAAAGTAAATCTACCTGATAAATTAAAGCCCGAGTTCAAAAAAGGGTTAAGATTTCTTAGAGATATGTTTCCCCATTTTGTTTTATAAAGCATGAATTCTACAAGGTTCATATATTTTTTTAATTTAATAAAACAACTGTCATAAAGCAAAACTGAAAAATCCTAGGTTACTTCTTAAAAGATTTCTTCTATCCAGTTTTGAAAATGTTAAGATGCATTTAATTTAATTTATTTATTTTGGGGAGCAATACTGTTGATTGAACTCAGAGCTTTGGGTATGCTTGAGATACTTTTCCACTGAGCTATACCCTCAGCCTTCAATGTGCATTTTAAAGAGTTAACTTCTACAGTGAGTGTTTTGAACTGAGTGCTTTATATTTGGAGGATCTGCTGAGACCGTGTGCTCTGTTCTAGATGATGTGTTCACAGGAAGGGAGCTGAAGATCAAGAAGACTGTACATAGGCAAGGTGATCAGTTGACTGGCTGCATCCAGCTCACTGACTAATACCAGCCGCCTTTAGTTTCAGAGAAAAGCGCTTTGTTGTTGGTCATGCTGTCCAGGAGTGCATCAGGCTGTGGTATAGTTGGAAAGCAGGAGGGGGACTCCTTGGGGGCCTGTGATCTGGGTATAGTGGCAGTTATTCAGTCCTGTCCGACTCTTCAACTTTAGAAAGTCATTTCTTCTGAAGCACCTAGAATCACTGAGAGCTTAGAAGAAAAGAAAACTTTTGCTAGTTAAGTACCTGACATGTGTTCTCTTGCTCACCGGATAGGCCAGCCAATGCAGTTGTAAAGGAGGTCGTGATTCTTGTTCTGCTATTCCTCAAGGAGTAGACTGTGACTGCTTTATCACCAGGACTGAACTCAGTACAGGAATGCAATGAGGAGTTTGCGGAGTGTCGTTTAATGGTGTTTACTGGCAGTTGGGCCTGACGGTTTTCTCTTGTATTCTTTTCTTCAGAGACGGCATCCATGCTTACTGTAAAGCACAGCAGGCACTTAGGGAAATGCTATTGGGGTGCGTAGGAAATAATGTAACTCAGGAGGCATTCTGCTTCTTCCTGCTTCTGTGATCAGCAACGTAAGAACTTGGGAGAATATGTATAGAGCATGATAGTTATGGGGTACAAACTATCTTATGCCACCCCACCCCCGCTTCTTGGTTTGAGTATCACTTAGTAAGATCTAAGGCAACAGTTCTGGCTCACTGGTATGGATGAAAGCAGGCAGATTTACTCAGATGATTGTTAAGTTCTCAGAAACAGTTGACTTAATTTAAGGTTGAGTAGCTTATACTTTGTATCATACCAAGCTTAATTGAAACCTTAAGAAATTTGTCTTGAGGGGCTAGAGAGATGGCTCAGAGGTTAAGAGCACCGACTGTTCTTTCAGAGGTCCTGAGTTCAATTCCCAGCACCCACATGGTGGCTCTCAACCATCTGTAATGAGATGTGGCACCCTCTTCTGTGTACATTATAAATAAATAAATCTTTTTTAAAAAAAATAAATTTGTCTTGAATAGTTACTGTTTCTCTCAATATGTCACTTTTAGACAGTCTGGCTTGAACTAGACTGAGAACAGAATCACCAAAGGGACATTTTTCTATCAGTACACTAGAAATTCACTTTCCTGTATAGAAAAGCATAAAGTTGGATTGTACCCATCCCCTTTACCGCTCACTCTGAGCAGTGGCATCGTGTGAGTACCTGCTCAGGTGCCTGGCATTGTATAATCTGAGAGTTTAAAAAAATTACAAACTTTTCTCAGGGATGTGTGTATATTTTATATGTATAAGTTGGTTAAAACCATTTGTTAATAGCATATTTAAAGTTTGAAACTGGACATTGACATCCATATTATCAGAATGATAAAAATATCTATGTTACAGTCATTACTAATTTTATTTCCTGGTGGCATTAGCATCTAACTTATATTCATTTGTTCATTCATTCATTCATTCATTCATTTTTTTCAAGACAGGGTTTCTCTGTAATAGCCCTGGCTGTCCTGGAACTCACTCTGTAGACCAGGCTGGCCTTGAACTCACAGAGATCCGCCTGTCTCTGCCTCCTGAGTGCTGGGGTTAAAGGCCTGGACCACCATGAATGGCTCTAACTTGGTTTTTTTTTTTTAATGTATGTGAAACAATTCTGATTCCTTTGAATGAGTTATTTCAAGTTTTTGTTTTGTTTTTACAGTCTCTTACTATATTCTTTTGGACACATTTAGAAAATTTCTGAAAGAAAGGTACTTTTTTGCACCATTAAGATCTGAACACTGTTTATTCCATATATAAAGAGCTACCTCGAGTTACCCATGTTCTTACCATCACTTGTTTGATGAGCTCTCTTGCCCTGTTGTCTGAGCCTTGAAGAACCTGATGGGGCATGGAACTTCTCTCCAGAAAAGTACACAACATGCACAAAAGTCTTCATTTCGTGGGCAGAGTCTTGACGTCCAGAATATCCCACCCCCAGCAGAACTATCAATAACCTTTCATCTTTTTATATAGTTCAGACCACAGACCCTGAAGACGTTCAGGAGTGCCTACAACCCACCCGCCATCTTTTGCTGCAATATTTCACATCTTGTGTTCTTTAAGCTTTTGGCCATTCCTTGTACCAATTAGGACCTCGACAGCCTTGCTCATGCTCTGTTCTACATGTTGCCTGCTGAAACGTCATTCCTTGTCTAAAGCCTACCAGTGCAGAGCTGCAGTAATTCCTTTAAGCATAAGAAGTATTCTTTCTGTGGTGTCTCTGTAGGTATTCAGTTGTCTTTGAGGTATTGTCTTCATGTTACTGTGGTTGTTTGTAATATTTGGGGAGAGAATTAGAATCCATAGCAACTGCTCAGAATGGAGCCTTTGGGTACCAGGCAGAGGCTTAATCTTTCTGTTAATACAGCAGTATTCCTGTGAAAAACCAGCTCAGAATCACCACATGATTATTTTTATAATTTTTATAACTAACTTATAAGCCAGCTTACTAAGTTTTGTAGCTTGCTATTTCCTTGCAAATCCAAATCTATTTGGATGAAAGACTTCAAAAGACAGATTTTAAAAATTATGCCAGAATTAGCTTTAGACAAAATTGCTTTGACTCTCTTCATAGATTTAGCTAGCTTTATGTTTTAATTAGGGAAAAAAGTAAAGCCCAGAGTGCTCTTCTAGATTATGCATCCCTCTTGCTGAGCAGTCATGTTGGCATTTGAATGACACTTCATGAGTGCATGGAATGCTGCAGAGCCTTAGACAGCAGAGGAGAGCAGACAGGAGGAAGTCCAGTTCCCCTGTGTCAGCCTTGTTTACTCTCTGGTGACAACACTGTTTTGACTTCCTTTTTACTTTTGTAGGACATAGCACGTCTTTTACAAGAGAAGGAGCTACGAGAAGAGAAAAAGAGGAAGAAGCATGTTCCAGAGCCTTCTGGGGGCAGTGCTTTTGGAGATGGCTGCTATTATGACGATGGAGGTAACAGCCAATGCTTGTGCCATGACCTCCCCTGTCCTTAGCTCAGCTCCAAAACTCCCTTTTCAGTTGGTCCATAGAGTCACCTGAGGGATTACGGGACACGACCCGTATTCCAGACCCTGGGTGAATTTAGATTTGTGGCAGTGTTCTGTTTGATTTTTAAATTTATATCCTATTTTGTTTTAATGAATGACTGTAGTTCTAAATAAGAAATATAGGATGGCCATGTTTTTACTTAGAACTTGAATATGCCTTATATGGCTTTGTAACACTTACGCACTCTTGTGTGCCGAAGCCATTGTAGTGCTGTGTTATCGTCTGAGCACAAAATAATGTAGTGTGGAAAATGCTCTGGATTTGACATTTTCCTCAAACAGTCTGAGCAGTGCTGGTTGAGGAAAGAAGGTGCATCATGCAGCAGTCACTGGGTAAAAGCTGTCTTTGCCCTTCTTTCCCCTGTGATTACTTGCGGTACCAAATTTATGGTCTTGATGATTTCCCTGCCATTTGATTGGCATGTAGAATAACCTGTGAGGGAACCAAGCCCCTCTAGAGTTCCAAGTGTCTAGTGCTGCTTTTCATTGTGGTGGTGATGGTGTGGTGTGGGTATTATCTCAAAGTGTGTTGGGAACAGAACATTTGCAAACAGAGAACACAGTTCAGCTCTTTCAAAGATTTGTCAGATGAAGGAAATTTCTTCTAGCTTCATGACTTAGTAATTATTGAGGTTCGATTTCAAGACTGTCCTTCCAGGGATGGCAGTGAACACAACTAAAGACAGCCTAGACAGTAAACACTGTCACATCAGTCATCCTAGAAGGCCTTGAAATCCAGTATCACCTGCTTAAAAAAATTCTACCACCCAAAAGTGTGTCTTTGCCTTTACTGAGGAGACTCAATGTATGTATAGGTGGTAAGATTATTGTAGTTTGAAAATAATATTGCCCAGTCACTTTTTTCTTGTTTTCCCTCACTTGACTGTAATTGGTTAACAGTCAGCTCTCTGGCCTGTTTGGGAAGTAGCTTGATTTCTTCCTCCATAAGCTCAACTCTTTTTAAAGAGCTATTTCCATTATGCTCATTTTTCTTCCGATTTGTATATTCCATCTTACACAAAGAAAAAGAGTTTGTTACATTGTTTTCTATACTTGGAACCAGAAGGTATAGAGTTTTTTTTTTTTTTTTAATTATTCTTTAGTGTTGAATAAAATCTTAGAAATGCAGAACTGGTAGATTTTGTTTATCACTATAATAAAAATAACTTCCAATTTTTCGTTTTATTTTATGTGTATGGGTGTTTTGCCTTTACATATGTCTATGCACTGCATGTGCCCATGGAGGACAGAAGAGGGCGTCAGATCCTCTTGAACTGAGTTACAGATGGTTGTGAGTCTCCTTGTGGGTGCTGGAAATCAAACCCGAGTCATCTAGAGAAACAACTACTTGAGCCATATCTTCTTCTATTTTAAACTTTTAATTCTAAAAAACATTAGGATAGAGGAAGAGTCAACTGAAATGTTCATTTTAGGTACTTGTATTAAAACCCATACTAACTGGAGCTGGTACTCAAGCCTGTGTGTTTAGATTCCAGTACTGGTATCCTGATGCAACTTTATTATAGGAGACTATGTAAACTTTTTGTGGTTTTTCTTTTTTTCTTCAGGAATACTTACAATTATATTTATTTTAGCTAGAGAATGGCGTGGAATAAATGCTTGTTTCAAGGTGCTAAGAGAATATTAAGGAATAGAAAATGTTGGCTGCTCTAAGCTTGTGTAGACACTGGTATTTCTTCGGCTTTGGCAGTGATGTGTGTTGTTGACTATACAGTTCTCATTACACACCCTTGAGTTACACCTAGTTGGTTTCCATAGGGACCGTGCTATTCAGCTTGTCATTACAAAGCAGTCATTATGCTCTGTGTAAGGATTCTTTCCCAACACACGTGATCAATTCTTGGATTCTGCTTTAACTTCTTTTAAAATCTGATTTTTGCCATAGTTATATAATAATCACAGTCTATCAATATGCTTGCCCTTTCAACTTTTGCTGTACATAAGCTTTAATAAATCTTAAACAATGATCTATAGATTATAAATTTGAAATTATCCAAAATATTTGTGAAACGTTCATAGAAAAAATAGCATAAATTATTCATTTGTGAATCCATGTTTATCTTCAAAGCCATTTGCCTGGTACCATGTTCATATTTGTGATTATTTCTTAATACATGAATAACCTTTGAAGACTATCACTTTAGTCCCTTAGGACAATTTGTAGTTTGACGAAGTTATTGATTCTGACTTCTCTAAGACATTTTTCTCATCTCTAAAATGAAGTTATAAAAATATGTTTCTCATATAGATTTTGAAAAGATCAAATAATGTAATTTTGGTGGGTGACTTATAAACTTTAAAGTAATATATATATATATATATATATATATATGTATGTACATATATACACATATACATTTGCATTTGTTTAAACAAGACCTTACTTTGGATGACAAACATGGAGGTGCACACTTAAAATGGAGATACGTGTGTGTGTGTGTGTGTGTGTGTGTGTGTGTGTGTGTGTGTGTGTGATACACACCACACATAGATTGCCAATAAAGGCATTAGTTGTATTTGCCAAATAACTTGGTCTCAAGAACATCCAAATGTCTTTCTGCATCCAGAAGGGGTTGGAAAAGATTCAAGCAGAATCCCCCACTGTGGTCTCTCCTACCTCAGATTTAAAGATGCCATTATAGGTAAACGATAAAAAATAAAACTACTATCAATTAACTGTTTAGGAAGAATTAAAAAACAAATCATAGTCTCATAAATTCATTGTGTTTGCTCTGTGCTTAATGATGACTCCACTCATCCACTCCATGAGCACACTGGTATAGACTCTGTAAACCACCTCTCTGAATGTGCTCATCATTAATAGCTTGTCAGTATTACATTAATTCCAGTAGCCAGTGAGTTAATGGGAGTTGAAAGAGCAGATGTTTTTGTCATAGAAACTGTTAGGTTTCACTTTTATGTCAGTTGCAAATTAGGCTCTGAACTATGGAGAATATAGTTTTATAACTATCTGTGAAGAAAGCAGATTTTACTCTAGACCTACCTTTGAAGGAAATGTAAAAGGAAACTGAGGTGGTTGAGTTTTTTTTTTTTTTATCACTGTTGAATTTAGCACATCCTTTCCCTCTTTATATACATGCAGTACTCTTATATACTTCTTACATACTCATATTAGAGTCAAAACACCCAACCCAACCAAAACCCCTTCACTCTGCCTACTTGTGGAAGCTGTTTCAGAATTCAGCAGATGCCTGATTAGAGCACGGAACAGCTTAGTTAGCCGAGCAGTTTTTTCATGGAATGGAAATTTGTTTTTACCATTTCTAAAGTGTAGTAAAAATGCTTTAGAAATGTTAGAGTTACTATGGTCTTGCAAAATGCTTACTGATTTGCTTTCTTGTTTTTATAATATGCTTGGGCCTGATAAGACCCTATAAAAGCATGTATGTAGGTTTCTTTTCTTTTGAACTGGGGAATTTGTATTTATAGCTTATATTTTATTTTTATACATAGAAGACAGTATAGATTATTTTAAAATATATTTGGAAAATGATGCCAGTATATGTATTCCATATGTCATTCCTTTTTTAGCTTTTTCCTTGGTAGGATTCAACTAAAATGAGGAAGACAATTGCCTCAATATAACAAGTCATTTATTCCTTTACATTCTGCTCTACTCTGTCCTCCTTCTACACCAAACTAGAACCTAGGCTGTCCCAGAAATATCCGAGAATGCTTGTTTTGGACACATGGTGGGGTGGACGTGGAGGGTGGAGACCTGTGGGTCATTTTGAACTGAGCAGAAGTTAAGAACATTGTACTGTATCTTTACTGTCACTTCAGTGAGAATGCTCGGAAATCTACGACTGAAACCTCACCCTGTTAGAAAACATCACTGGTTTACAAGACTTTATAGCCTCTAATTGTTAGTACCTATTCTAGCTGCAGATTGGCTTTATAAAGTAGAATTTGATGTCTTAGTTAGGATTTCTAGTGCTGTGAAGAGACACCATGACCATGGCAACTCTTATAAAGGAAGAACATTTAATTGGGGCTGGCTTATAGTTCAGAGGTTTAGTCCATTATCATCATGGTGGGGCATAGTGGTGTGCAGGAGACATGGTGCTGGAGAAGGAGCTGAGAGTTCTACTTCTGGACTTGCAAGCGACAGGAAGTGGTCTGAGACATTGGCCTTGGCTTGACCATGTGAGACCTCAAAGTGTCCTTCCACAGTGACACACTTCCTCCAACAAGGCCACACTTCTTAATAGTGCCACTCCCTATGGGGGGCATTTTCTTTCAAGTTATCACACTGTCCATTGTTTTGTTATTGGCCTTATAAAGTTGGATTTGATGGTAGTTGTCCATCATTTTGTTATTGGCAAATATGAATATGCTAAGCTCTTCCTAATCATGATCAGATTCTTTATGATTCAAATGATTTCACTTAAATTTTGCTTTTTACCTTTTTGGCTATGTATGCATGGACCATTCCAGTCAGTATTCATCTCCACATCTCAATTTGTGAGGTTTCAAATCTATTTTATCCACCTAAAAATATGTTAGTATTGAGTCCCAGATTCCCTGTGTAATGAATTTATACTTTTATTAAGCTATCAATTTTTATTTTTATACCCTCTACCTCCACTAAGACCAGCCAAGGTCAAGGAGGGCCAGGGAATTGGGTTCTGGATACTCAAGTTTTTCTAGACTCCAAAATGATGGGAAGACTGTAAAGCAGAAGAAGGAGAAACCAAGACATCTATTGGAGAACTTGGAAGAGCTGGAGGAACCCTGTTCTTCAGAGAGATCGGGCAGAGGGAGGGATGCCCAGACTGCCATTGATCAGCATGAAAGAAAGCGGGCTGGTCAAGAGAGGCTCTGGAAACCTCCACTTCCAAAGATCAGCGGTGAGGTGTTTCTGAGCACTGAATCTGATGACTGGGAAGCTAACAGTAGCCCTCGAACTCGGAGTTGGGACAAACAGTCCCGGCACCATGGCAGACTTTCACCCAAGTCTTCACAGAAAACAGGGCTTCCCTCTAAGGAAATTGTGTGTGGGAGGGACCTTGGGCAAAGTGACCACAGAGAAAGGAGACGTAAGCCCAGGACTCCTCCCTTCTCAGAGGATGAAGAACTTCACTACCACCATGATGCAGGTAATGGATCGCCCTGTTGGAAGTCCTGTGTGTAAAGTCTGTCAGTTTAATAAGCATCGTAGGCAACCTTTGTCTCTGTTCAGTTTGAACTTCTGTCCTTAAAATGAATCTTGGAGCCAGGTATTGTATGAGGTTCCCATTGATCTTACGTCTCTAGGAAGAAGGAAATATCTGTACTGTTCTCCTGTAAGAGCATGCTGAGTTGGAGGATTCTCCAGGACCAGGTTGCAAGTATGGGTGCCCAGCCCAAATACTAGTCATTGTTTGCCACAGCCTTGTATCAGATACTCTGATTCTAAATTGAAACTTAGAAGATCTGGTTTAGCAAAGGCTTTTAAGGACCAGCCTTAAAGGCCTTCTCGCAGGGTCCAAAAGAAATGCTACAATAAACGAAGGAACTAGGAACTGAGAGATAAAGAATGAATCCACTCACACTATATTCTTTCCATCCATGTCTCTTCAAAAAGTAAGTTTTTTTCTACAGCGAGGATACCGGCTTATATACATTTACAACAGTAATTCTTTTGGCAATGCAATGTGAGTCTTGAATTTCTCAGGATCACCAAGGCAGATAAGATTCACACACAGAGCAAGAACTGTCAGCTTTCACTCATGGAGTGGTTAGTGGAGGTTCCTCGATAAGGTCAACTAGAGATTAAATCATCAAGGGAATCTAAGAGAGGAATTCATGTACTTAAACTGTATTCCTAAGTGTGGCTAGGTAATAAGCTAATAGTCTATAATCAGTGAAAGTCACGAAGAAGGTAAAAACTGTCTTTTTCTTCATGTGCCGCTTCCAAGTGACTCCAGCGCTGCTTTTCCAGCAGGCTGGGTCAGTGTCCTCAGTAGCTAGGCAACCTGCGTAAGCAGCAGAGGAATAATGCGGCACTGTTGGCTGGCTCAAAAGAAGCTCTCAGATCTAAGGGATTACAACTTTTGCCTTAAGTGGTTAAAACGAAGGGAGGATCTAAGCCTATTCTGCACAAGAAACAGAACCTGGCACCTTCCAGTTGCTCTGGCCGCTGTGGCACAGATTTTCAGCATGTCTGTGGGAAAGTTTACTTTCCTTCAGGAATGAGCAAATCTGATTACCTTTCCTGTTATTTCCTCAGGGCAAAGTAATAAATCTCTAAGCCAAAATCTTGTGTTAATAAACCAAGGTGAAAGTAAGTACAAGGAGTTAAGAATCTTTTAGTGCGAGGTTAGTCTAGGTCATTACTTCTTTTATCTATAGGTGTGCTAAAACTAGGGCATGCTTGTTCTCTAAGTGGGTATGAATTATCATTTCAGACATGTAGTAACTCTGTGTCCTTGATGTGTCCGGAAATGTCTCAAATGAGATACTTTTGCCTGGACCCTAAACATTGACCAAATGCCTGCCAATAAAGATAATTGTAGGAAGGCAGATCTCTACATTTACATTGGAGAAAGGAACAAAGGCCAGTTGTGGGAAACCGATTTTGATTGTCTGACTGTTTTTACACGTAGCTAGTGGATATTATCAATATATCCCAAATGCATAGGGGAAATTGTGCTCAATAAGTGATCAAACACTTCTAAACTGTGGGAAATAAATCTGAAATTTGTAACAGATGGGAATAAGCTATGACTTCTGCAGCAAGACATCTATAGCAAGAAACAGCCAATTCATTCAAAAGTCAGTAACTCCAACATGACTTATATCTTGGGTCTGGGCTTAATCCTCCACCAGAACCCTTGGTTCTGATTGGTTGACCTTTATCAATGATGGCTGAATCCCTACTGCATAATCCTGCGGCTTCCAGCACTGGTTGTAATTGACTTAAATGTTTATCTGCCAGTGGGACTAGAAGTATTTTATCCTTTAGACCTCATCTTTCTCGTCTGTAAGTGAGACATCAGAGAGGCGGTCTTTTTAGAGTACTTTCAGATTATGGACATTCAGATCACTTTTATCAGAGATAGCTAGGGTAGGGTATTTTCTAAAACTGGAAATCTCTGAGTCAATTTGGAATATTTTAAATCTATAAGTGATACTTACATAATTAAAGCTTAAAAATCATTGTTTTAAGTTACCTTTTATGGTTTAATGTGCAACTCTTAATTCTGAAGTTCTTCTAAGTGCCAAGATACCCAAGTTCTCAACACCTGTAAAGAAACCAAGAGGGTAAGGGCTGAGGAGTTGGCTCGCTTACTACATGGTATGAGAACCCAGACAAAAGTCAGGCAGCCTTAGCAGATGCCCATAATCCCAGTACTCAAAAGACAGACAGTGGATCCCTGGAACATGCTGGATAGCTACCCAGGCCAGAAATGGTTAGTTCTAAATTCAACAAGAATAAAATTGAGAGGGAGCAAGAAAAACACCCAGTAACTACAGGCATCCATACACACATGCATTAACACTGCACATTCTCACTTAGTCAAGCCTCAGGGTTTTTAAAGAAGTTTGGGGACCTGAAACTAAGCATCAGCTTAGTCATCAGTTCTGGGGCTGTAAGTAAATGTTTGCTCTGTTAATACAAGGGTTTAGCGAACACGGCAGTTATAGCTACTGAAATGATTACAGTGAGTACTGACTGCATAGGACTTACTTACCATTTTATACTCAGCCTGCTTTAGACCTTATACTTCCCAGTTCCTATTGGCATTTGATTGTGAACCTTCTCGGTGTGGTCAGGAGATTACACTAAGAAATAGTAATTAGGCACTGGTGTCAGCTCTTGCTGTTGGAGACAACCACAGTTCTTAAAGGTGTGGTTGGTATGTGCGAGATTCCTGTCAGTTATCGGTGAATGAACGAGCAGGACGACAACACTGGGTCCAGGAGCGTTTGCAGAAGAGTGGTGCAGGAAGTCAGCTGAGAATGGAGCTGCTGGACTCCAGGGAGAGTTGGCTGACTCTCCGTGGAGCACTTACACGCTGTCTCACTCTGAGAGGAGCTTACTGTGCTTACATCTGTGACAGCTTATTGGTTACACAGGTTAGCTTCTCACCCTCCAGGGCCTTAAATACTGCACTTATCTGTTGTGAATTCTGACTCAGATGCATTAGGATGTGCCCTAAATGTCAAATGACTTCTTATAAAATATGCATACATAATACCAAAAACTCATCAGTTACATTTTGTTTTAAAATCATACTTAGTGTAAATTTATCTCCAATACTAGCATTTTTAGTTTTTCTTGGTTACAGGTGCATACCTCTATTCCTAGCACTTGGGAAACAGAAAAAGAAGGATCTCTGTGAGTTGAAGTCCATTCTGGTCTACATAGTGAGTTGTAGGTCATCCAGGGCTGCTTGGTAAGACTCTGTCTAGTAAGCTCTACACTCCATTTATCTTACTATATCAAATTTTATTTAAAGAGAGCAGTTCATTTGTGTTTCTTTTGGGAAGTCTTTGCATCTCTGACTGTAGGATGTTAACTGGAAAGGGTAAGAAGCAGGTTAACTGTATGAAAACTGGAGGTGTTGCTCTGCGCAGAGCACTTGCCTAGCATGGCCATCTGCAGCACCACACAAAAAGAACGAGGGAGGGAGGAGGGAGGTCAAGAAAGAGGAACAGCTGAGATGCAGCTCATCTATTTAAGAGCAGTTTCTGGATTGTCTTTAGAGAGCCAAGATGTACAAGTCTTCTCTGTTTTTTATAATGACAGCTTTCCAATGCACTATATACTTAAAATACCTTTCATTGCTTCAGGTCTAGAGGACACTGTAGTTGGGGAGGCAGTCCTGCCTGTGCTGAAATCCATTGTCGTAGGCTGAGTGTTTCTGTGAAATGAGAATTGCAAATGCCAGTGATGTGCAAGAATCTGAGTAAACTGTCATCATCTGTGTGGTTGGGCCTGAGAGACAGAGTGGTTCAAATTCCGACTTTATTAATGGAATTGTATTTCTTTTAAACTGATAGTAGTTATGTTATCATCCTGACAGCTTAATAATACTGTTCATTTGACTGCACCTCTGTTAGTATTTAAAGTGATGTTTCCATAGTTAATTTTGTTGCATAGAATAGAAGACCCCACTAGTAAAAAATGTTGGGTATTTTGAAAGCTGAATGTATCTACACGTAGCATTTCACTAGGTGGAAAATCAGGCAAAATTTATCATCCTCAGCGAGGCTTTAGGCTGTTCACTGAACTTGTTTCTTTTCTATAGATTAGAGTATGGTACAGCAATTTATCTATTCACTGACTTTACCCAGTGTCAAGTTCCCTACTTAAGTTTAGTTGTTTTCTCTGAAATCTGCCTTTCTAAATACAAATCATACAAGTCGTAATTCAGACAAGTGTATTTATCCAATTGCATATGCCCTGTTCTTGAGAATATCCCAAACCAGTCAGAAATCTGTTGTAAACCAGGCCAGAGCAGCATAGGATTCAGTACCACTAGAGGTGGTTTGTAGTGATCTATAGAGTTAGGTCCTGGGAAGTGTGAGTTAAGAAAGACAAGCTTTCTCATCATTTTTATGATAAGATATACACACACATGAGTCTCTATTTTAAATTTACCATAATGTTAGGTAGAATGTCTATAAAAGTAGATTTTATAGCCGGGCGGTGGTGGCGCACGCCTTTAATCCCAGCACTCGGGAGGCAGAGCCAGGCGGATCTCTGTGAGTTCGAGGCCAGCCTGGTCTCCAAAGCGAGTTCCAGGAAAGGCGCAAAGCTACACAGAGAAACCCTGTCTCGAAAAAAAAAAAAAAAAAAAAAAAAGTAGATTTTATAAGGTAAACCAGATTCTCCAAATACAATTTTATTTTCATGTATGTATATGTGTTAGCAGCTTATGAATCAAATGTTATGAGGTATTTTGCTAGCTATTTTAACTTATATTTATCTTGATGGCCCATTGTGCTGAGCCAACTGCTCCCACGTTGCTTGAAGATAAGAATCCATTGGAAATGCTTAAAGTAGATGCCCAATGCAAGAGCTCACCCAGGCTACTCAATTTAGAATACATGTTGTTGGAGACAGTATCTTAATATTGGTCAAGTACTCATAAGTGGTCGGTGATAGGGGCTCTGAACAGTAGTACAGGGAGAGCTTATCAGAATAAATTTTTTATTCCTTTGGTGTCCATTTACTGATGATTATACAAGATGCCTGGTCTATGAATTCCATGAAAAGATTTTATTATTTCTGAGGGAATATATTCACCCTGTTGACTAACTGTAACTTGTAAAGGTAAGTAGAGGAAAGTATTCACAATTTTGGTGACATTAACTTTTGCCTTGTTTGAAGTTTATAGAAGGCTGTGTGTTCCTTTAACATCACAAAGTGACAAAGCATAAATGTCAGTCAGTTCTCTTTGTCCCTGTCTCTCCAGAGGAACACAGTTCTGAGGTCATTGCACTGTCTGATATTTTCTCTATGTTATGTTTTCATAAAATTTTGTAATGTCAATAACAGATGGGCCAAAGCTGTAGGAAAGATCTAGAGCACATGGTTTTGTGTACCGACTGAGGATAAGCAGGGTCATTTTGACACGTTTTCACCCCGTTTGTAGATGGCCCTGTCTGTTCTGCAGGAAGATGCGTAGGCTGCAGGACCTGAGAGGAAGCCTTTCTCTTGGGTGTCTAAACCACAGTAAAACTGATTCTGGAGCTGCCTTTTCTCTTCAGTCTTTTCAATTTTAGTGGCTTTGTTTTTCTTCTTTTCGGTTTCTGCTTTGAAAACTTGCTTTCATTCTAGTATCTTTCTTGTGTGACTATTTGCTGTAGAAGAAACTGTGAGAAATGGTTCTACCAGGCAGATTTGGGGAAGTAACTTTGTTAAAATGTTTGAATTGTGTGTTACTATTTCCATGCCCAGGAAAAATTCATTTCAGTGTACCTCTCATTGAAATCTCCAATGTACAATCTATAATCATCAGTGTTAAATATTAAGAGAGAATGCCCTTTTCCTAATATTTTTCATCTTTTCAGAAAACAGCCCCAGTTAACCTCATTAAATTGAGATTTTTCTAGGAATGAAACCAAGGGGAGTAAAAGAAGCTGTCTGTACTTCTGCACGAGCGACCCACAGGGACCAGGAGTGGTATGATGCTGAAATTGCCCGGAAATTGCAAGAGGAAGAACTTTTGGTGAGTACATTTAGGGTAGAGTTCAAGGGAAGTGGTAAGACTGTATGTGCAAGCCAAATTTTAATTCAGTCTATGGTAAACATTATAGAGTTCCATTGTTGGCCTTGTGGTTCCATCAGTTGAAACCTGGTGTTTTTCTAATGGTCGGGGAAATCAAGACAGTGAAAGTGGAGTCAAATATCATCCCACTTACCCATGGTTTACTTTCTGTAATTTTGGTTATCTGTGATTAAAAATAAGTACTTTAAGTACAATATTATTAAAAGCGGGGTCTTTCATTATTGGGACTATTGGTCTTTTCCTGTGACTGATTTGTAAATTAAACCATTTTGATTTGTACGCATAGACAAAGCAGTCTCTGTAGGGTCTGACACTGTCTGCAGTTTCAGGCATTCACTTCGGCTGTAGGAATGTGTCTTATTTGATACGGAGGCCTTTTACATGCAGCAGTGTGGATTGATAAGCATTAGCAACAGAACTCCGTATCCTGATTTTTGTGTTAATAAGTTTTGGTAGCTGTCTAAAAATATCCTGTTGAATGAGTTGCAAAGTCCCTTCATTCTGGCTGGTGAAATATGCCCACTGACCATCAACTTCAGAGATTCAGCTACAGCTAATTTCAAACTCCAGTTTATTTTATATAAGATATTTTAAATGGACAGCACAGATTCCAGTTATCTGTTGTGTTTCTGATCCACAGGCTACACATGTGGACATAAGAGCAGCTCAGGTTGCCCAGGATGAGGTCAGTTCATATTCATGAGATTCCCCTAGAGTGTGAGAAACAGCCTCAAATCTGTGACTCATGATATTGCCCATATCTTAGGAAATTGCTCGACTTTTGATGGCTGAAGAAAAGAAAGCTTACAAGAAAGCCAAAGAGCGAGAAAAGTCATCTTTGGACAAAAGGAAACATGACTCTGAGTGTAAGGTAGTGTGGGGCCTTTTCTGTTTTGCTTCGCTTTTAAATGAGAGATGAAAACAGGACTCTGCTTTTACGATGAGCTCTGAAAGTCCGTTTTGGATATGTAAAATAAATACCTGCATTACATACATGACTAATAAGTCAAGGTTGTTTCACAATGAAAAACGTCATTGAATTGGTACTGCTCAGATTGCAAAACTCACTTTGATCATTTTCAGGCTGAGACTCAGGGGCAGGGATCTGTTTTCATATACTTAGATTGTAAAAGGATGCATAGTTTTCCCCTGCTTTCCATCCTTCCTCAGTGAACTGCAATTGCCCTGCCTTCCCTGTGTGCCTCCCTTGTCTGTCTGCCCTTTCACACAGCTGTCTGTTTGTGTTTGATAGCTGGAGGACCGGCAAGTAAATTCATATCCCTAGCAACCATTGTTTATGTCTCAGTACAGGAACACTTTAGCAGGACCTGGGACTATCATCTTTTCCTTAATCAGAAGTAGCTGCACATCATCATTCCTCTATAAGTTAATCTAATTATTGCCTACACTGGTTGCAAGTTCAATTTAGCAATCAGTATTTGTGTGCAACGTACCACTCCGACCAGTGTGGGAACACAAAGGTATCCTTTCCTGACAGTGAGAGGAAGACAGCTAGTTGTGTGGATGCTGACAGGAGGATATGCTGAAGAGGCAGAGCAGGAGGGTCACTGGAGTAGGACAAATTACAGACAGCTAACGATGCAAAGCCAAGTACAATAGGAGCGCATGCAAGGAGGGAGAGAATTATTGGAGTAAAGAAGTAAGCGTTTCTACTAGCTTGGGAACATGCAGCCTAGAATATGTGCTCGTGACACACCTGATCTCTGCGCTGTTTTCTCTGTGTTCCTCTTCTGGTCTCTGGTCCTGCCTCATAGTTTCTGTAATTATTGTGAGAGAAAATAACCCTGAAACTGTACTGATAATATCACTTAACCTTTTCCTTTACTTAGTTGCTAAGTACCAGTCTTAAAACAAATGGAAGTATTATTTCTATATGAATTATATCTCTTTAGTAATTTGAGATGTGTTCTAATTAATGTATTTATTTCCTGAGTTCAGCATCTCCAAATGTTTCTGCTACATAAAAGAAGCTACAGATGTTCAGATTCTTTGACCAAGTAAAGATAGTTTAGCTACCTTGCTAGTGAGTGTCTTGCCTTTTACAGTTTGCATATTCTGTATTTTGCAACTTTCCATATTTCATATTTCCATTTTACTGGTAGAAATCCTTTCTTAGAAAATTTGACTTGAAATGTGCTTTACTTGACTGGTTGGAAAGTTTTCACCCTGAGTCAGATATACGGAAAAGAACTTAAGAGCTCAAATCCAGGTTCCATCCGCTGTGTCTTCTGGATCTGGTCAGCTGTGCAGCTCTTTCGTTACTGATTTCAGCTGCGAAGGCCTGTGAGGATCACAATGTGTGTAGTGTGTGTGTGTGTGTGTGTGTGTGTGTGTGTGTGTGTGTGTGTGTGTTGGAAAGTGTGGTGTGTGAGCATGCAGTGTATGACCCACTTGTCTGGTTGCCCATTCATCTACACACACCTGTGAGGATTGATTGTGTGTGTGTGTGTGTGTGTGTGTGTGTGTGTGTGTCTGTGTGTGTCTGTGTGTGTCTGTTTGTGTGTCTGTGTCTGTGTCTGTGTCTGTGGTGTGTGACCCACTAATCTGGTGGCCCAGGCAGACTGCACCAGACCATTGTGTTTGTCAGTTTTTGGCCCAAATGACTGCATAGAAAAATATTTTGTTATTCAGTTAAGTGTAGCCTGAATTTCCTAAAGGAAAGCTTGTTGGGGAATAGATATTTTCTAAAGCTCACCTTTCCTGTTGTTTGTGTTTTGTTTTTCTGTCCACAGTCAAAAGCAAAGTCAACACATACAAAGTCAAAAGAGAGTGAAGAAGCACACCGTTCCAAGATTGACAGGCCGGCACGGTAAGATGACCCCTGAAAAGGAGAAAAGGAAGTTAGCTTTGGGGTAGTGAGCATCCATCAGTTGTCTGAGAAAACTGTTCTTGCTAGCAAAGAGCCAAAACTCTGCAATTGAAAGGTAGTTTCCAGTATCACAGGGTTATTTTAAAAACCTGTTCAGAGTCTTACATTGGATTGCATAAATTATTTATAATGGACACTGGGATAGAAGGAGAATTCTTTCTTGTTTTTTGTTAGGACTACCTCTTGGCATTTAAGAAGTTGTGCCCTCACCTAGAGAGAGATGAGATTAACCAATTTCTAAATTAAAATCTCAGATTTTAAACTTTTGTTGAGGCTGAGAAGATAGCTCACTGGATAAGAGCATTTGTGTGTGTGTGTGTGTGTGTGTGTGTGTGTGTGTGTGTGTGTGTGTGCGCGTGCGCGCGCGCGTACCTGCATGTGCATGTGCAGTTAATTGTCTTGTTGCAGACTGAGTCTCCCTGTCGCAGGTAGCTGGCTGTGTGCAGTGTTCTTCCTTACACACACAGTCACAGCATCGAGGAGCTGCTGTCTGGAGAAGCAAGTTCTTTTTCCTTTATTAGTTTGTATTGCCTTTTCAGAATGTTTGATGGAAATGTGAGGAGAGAGAAACAATGAATACAGAAGGATGGCATGGAGAAAACAGGAGATGAGTAAGGGAAGTTTGATCCATGGAAATTAATCTGTAAATAGGAACAAGAAGCTTCAGTATTTAGCAGGAGCAAAACTATAAATAGCAGTTGTGATAGGTATATTTCAAGAATGCATAGGGGCTGGAGAGATGGCTCACAGAGGACCTGGCTTCAGTTCCCAACTACCCACATGGTGTCTCACTACCACCTATAATTTCAGTTCCTGGGGGCACTGAGTATGCAAGTGGTGCATGCAATACATGTAGGCAAACACTCATACACATAGATAAAAATAAATACACCTTTTAGGAAAGAAATGATGGGACTGGAGCAGTGACTCAGTGGCTCAGTAGTAAAGAGCACTGGCTGCTCAGAAGATATGGCTTTAATCCCCAGCACCCACATGGCAGTTTACAACCATGAGTAACTACAGTCACATGGGAGCCAACACTGTTGGCCTGCAGAGGCACTGCATACATGTGTTTCACAGACATGCGTGCAAGCAAAAACACCCATGTGCACAAAGAGTAAAATACAATAAATATTATAATAAAAGCAATAATAAAACAGGAGCTAGGTATGTTTAATCAGATTTGAGTGTTAGACAACACACATGAGGGGTGAATTATGTTACTTTATAAATAGGTTCTATTTTTATGTTTTTATAAATGCATTCAAACTGATTTAGATGAACCAATAGGGGCTGGGGATACAGCTTGGTTTGTAGAATTGTTGCCTAGCATAAGAGAAATGCTGGGTTTGGTCCCAGCACTGCAGAAACTGGACGTGATGGTGCTTGTGTGTTGATCCTAGCAGTAGGGAAATGGAGGAAGAAGGTTAAAAAGCCAAGGTCACTGTTGTCTGTATACAAGAAACCAGGTCTCCAGGAAAGAATAAAAAAGAAAAGAAAGAAAATACACTAGTAATAGCTCAACCACCCTGAATTAATAAAACCTTGACGTTAATCATAACTTAATAGTTATTAAAATTACTGGGCTTTAAAGATGGCTTCCCTTGTAGACATGAGCCCTGACCCCCAAAACTCAGGCAAAGCTGTCCTGCTTGGTGGTCACTTGTAATCCTTGCACCTGGGAGGCAGAGACCACATCCTCAAGGCCAACTGGTTGGCTGGACTAGCCGGGGTTCAGTGAGAGGCTCTGACTCCAAAAAAAGTAGAAGGCTATTGAGGGAGACATCAGACATTAATATTAAACCTCCATGTGCACACATGTGCACCAATACAAGTTTGAACACATGCCCATACAACATATATATAAGTAAAAGTTATTTTTAAAATGTACATTTAAGCTTATGTGATTTCAGAAGATAAACTCCTTTCAGGAAAGGATACTGGATATAAATTGCTCTGGTGACAATAGGAACATAATCTATGTAAAATCTGTTGTTCTTTAGCTTTTGCTTAAGCACGTATAGAATGTTTACATTTATAGTTCTGTACATTCCTATAGTATCCACGCAAAGGAAGAGACAGTCTGTTCTCGGGAGGTAAATATCTGGTTTTTATTTAGTCACATGAGTTCAAATGACTTTTAGGGTTGTTTTTGTTCAGCCTTCAAAGTCGTTTGACCCTTTTGAACACTAATATCTTTGACAGCAGATAAAACAGGGCACTCTGGGATGGCTGTTCCTAAAGGTTCATTAAAATGGAAAACAAGTTCACAGAATATAAATGGGTCCTCTGAAGACTCGTGGGCATATTGAAAGTGAACAACCAAGTGATCTTTTACAGTGACTGTTAAGAATTACTGTGGAGTCAGTCACACAGCCATAGATCCATGTCTTCTGTGTACTGAAAGGAACACTTGTTCTAATTACTTGCTAAAATATTGTGTATATGAGAAAATAAATGAATAAGGATTTTATGAAACTACTTCCTAGTATAAATAAACCTCACATGGTTAACAGGTTTGTGAGGGTGTGCATTTTGCATAGCATCTGCTTCCTCTTTCACACTTAATCAGGATGGAAAGGTTGGGTAACTATTTGCATAGACAGAGTTAGTGTAAAGGAGAGGAGAACATGGGTTTCCGTGGTCAGTCTGTGTAATGCTTCAGCTTAGCAGTGGCGTCAGTCAACAGCAATAACAATATCAACAACAAAATGAACAGCAAATTCTCATGAGGAGCTTGGAGTATCCACTGTCAACATTCCAATTTCTTTTGTTATTCCAAGTTTTTTTTTCTCTTCCTTGTGGGAATTAAGGATCAGTCAGTAGCGTGGATTAATTCCAAGTCAGAAACTGCAGAGGGCGTGCTTGTGCTCTCTACAGAAACTGCAGAGGCTGCGCTTGTGCACACTAACAGCCCAGTGAGGCTGAGGCAGAGGAGGTTGTCTTCTAAGCCACTTGGGAAGAAAACTTGTCTAGGGAAAGAAAAACAAAACAAAGTTTCAACCCCAGGATTTTATACTGAAAACTCCAGTGACTATTTTAGTTTTTACCATAGAAAAGTTTGGAACGTTTACAAGTCTCTTTTACTTTCTAGCACATTCACATGAATATCATGATATTCATCTGCACTCAGTCATCTTTTGATTATTTCATACTTAGACAGACCTAAGAGAAACAGTCTTTAAGAGTGAAGATTTCTTCGTTGTTAGGAAGCTTACAATCTAACAGATTATTAAGTGACATGGGTCAAAACACTGGGTATGAAAAGCCTAGCGAGCCACTTGGCCTGACTCAGGTGCAGGCAACCAGAGGATGAGGAACTCTTAGCAATCTTACGAATTAAAAATATAATTTTATGAGAAGAGAAGGAAGCAGGTAATTGTAACAGAACTACCGAATAAACTCTTGATTAGTAAGAGTTTTCCCATCTTTAACAATAAATATTACTAGCTTGGAAACAATCCTCTCCATTGCAACATAATGATTGTGTAGGAAACAGTAAGTCTAGATGTGTTCCTTGTACCACCCAAGGAAGTGCGCTGTGAAACAGTCTCTCCTAAAAATGGCTGCAAAAACAAGATCTGAACAATAGCAATATCAATGGACATGTTAACGTGGAAGGGAGGGGGACTCTTTGCTGGGTTCCACCCCTAAACAAAGAACTGCAGGCAGCTATTGACTGCTGGGAGGAGGGTTAGCCTCGCCCGGGGATGAGCCCCTGCTGGTTGTCCAGTGCAGGGTAGTCAGCTGGAAACCATAAGCACAGAAACAACACAAATGGACTCAGCAGGTTGTATTGTATATAGGTGCGTGTGTGTGTGTGTGTGTGTGTGTGTATGCATGCATGTATGTGTGTATTTGTGTATACATTCTACATGTGTTATATATGTATGTAACAAGTATAAGCAAAGGAAAAGTGACTACCAACTTGAGAATGGAGAGGGGCGTGTCAGACTGGAGGAATGAAAGGGAAGAGGAAAGTGATGCAATTCTATTTCAGTTAAAGTTAAAATATATAATATTAAAAAAAAAGCTGAACAGAGTAACATAGCAACAGAACTGAGGGTATCTTAGAGTGACTTGCTTGTCCCTGCATGAATGTCCAGTGCTTTTGTCTTCAGGTTTGGGGTCCCTGGTGAGATTTAGGAAAAACTAAGGAGACCTCTCTGCTCCAGTGATAAACGATACACTTTTCTTGGTCTTGGCTCTCATCTTTCGGCTCTTGTGTCTCAGTTCTTCCTAACATGTCTCATGTCACTTTCTAAGGTGTTAGGATGTCAGTTAACATTGAGAAAACAAACAGACGACAGAGACAGTGTTTGTAGGCACATGATTTGGAAGGAAAGTATTGCCATGCTTACTGTGTTTTTATACATGTAGCAGGAACAAACATAAAAACATACAATTAAAAATGTATTTTCAGGTGACATTTGAATGTTTGCAATACAAGGATAAAGAGATCATTCTAGCTGGCCCTTGGTTCTCCTACTGTGTTCTGTTGGGTGTTGGGCTGCACAGAGCACAGACTTTGATTTACTGCTTCCATTTGAGAACATACAGACACACATGTCATATGTGCAGGCTCTGCTGTTCCTGCTGATAAACATGTCAGAGCACTGTTTCTGGACAGTGCTGATTGTTAACAACTGTGTTGTCTGTGCTTAACAAGTGTGTACACTTGGGTCAGCCCCTCACCTCACCCGCCATGCTTCCCTGCACATCTATGCTGTAGATTCACACTGAGATATGTGGAGTTCTCCCTGTGCATACAAGGTGTCATTTCAAGTGATTTCTGCTAGGGATAAGTGGAGAAATTCAAACATAATTGCTTTAATTTTAGATTCCCAGTCAATTTTGTACCAAACTGGCTACAACTTTTCAAACCTCAATGTACTCATTACACCTTATTATTATACAAAAGATCCAATAGTATGGATATAGTATTAACATATTTTAATCTGGCTCAGTGTTTTAATGCAAAATTTTGACTATGCCTTTGGAAAATTAAATGGAATTGAACTGGTCTTTCTTTTCATTTTTATCGGTTCCAAGTATTTGCAAAATTCTATATTAAATGATTAAATTAATAAATATTTATAATTTAAAAATTTCCTCTTTTGACGTTGTTTCTCTTTGACATAAAACCTTGTATGTGGGCTGCACAGAAAGTACCCTGTGTTTTTAAGATGGACTTTGCCACCTAGTGGATAAAGAGCCCCATTGTTCATGAATGTTCTCCATTCTTGGTTGGCTCTGCCCTTTCTGACTCCTTGCTTTCTTCTTTTCTTAGCTTTATTAAGTATTTATTTAGTCACTTTGTTTCCTTGGTAAAATCTGGCAAAATGAAGTAAATGGCAGGCCGTATCTTACTTACATTTGCTTCTGTAGCACACTGCCACACACATGATAGATACTGGGAAAATATGCTTAGTGAGTTACAGGCGACAAGAACAGTAAGGCAGAAATAATTTGCTCAAGGACATGCAGCTGCCCAGGAACTAAGCTGAGAATTCTGAAGCACGGTGGCATTCCCACTCTACGAAAAAGCTTTTGCCATGTTGCTCAGTGAGAGATGGAACTGTAGAAAACATCACTTAGAGGTTTTACATTCTGACTCCCTGCAGACCACCACCTCCTACAGTGATGGGCCCTGAGGATCTGGACCATACCCATTTTACAAACCAGCACAGTGCCACTCGTCATTTCTCAAAGTCAGAGTCCTCACACAAAGGTAAGAAAGGAATCACAATCTACATGAGCAAGCTGAGCTCGTGTAATAGGAACTGAAATGCTGTCTTCTAGTTCTGGGAGTGGGAAAATGAGCCTCTCTTCCTCTCAGCAGTTAGTGAAACTCCGGAAAGCCAGCAGTAACTCACTCTAAATTCCATGCCTGGTTCCTGCACTGCACTCTTTCCTCCCCTTGGAAGTCACTGCTATTTCGTCACTTTAGTGGAGGGAACTGCAGCCCCCACTTAGATTGGTTGGCTGCTTTATCCGCACAGTTGAAACAACTGAAATCTGAAGGCTGAAGGTTTTCATACTGACACATTCTTCAGTTTCAGATTTTGGAGCATTTCAGATGTAGACTTTTCAGACTAGGGGTGCCTCAACTGCCAATCTGTAGTTGTCATATTGATTAGAAGGGAGAAATTAAGGATAGTCTATACATATGTTTCAAAGAAAAGTTCTGAAACCTAAAACAGTTTTGATTCAAGCATGTTGATGATATACATCGCTGACAGTAGGAATGAGGTTTACAGTGTGTGCACATACATGCCACACAGCCTCTCACAGGTGAAAGGTGCAGTGAAGAAAATGAGGGAAGAATTGGAGAACTATGATGGGTTAATAACTATACAATGGAAGCATAATTGGTTTCATTTGCTTTTCTACACACAGACACACACACACACACACACACTCACATTTGTCAGTTATTCAATGAGAGAAAGAGTTCCTTTTTTAACTTCCTTGTCTACAAAAGATTGGTGGTAAAATAATGAGTCCAGAATTGTCAGTTATGAAAGAAGTCTGTGTGCAGTGCTCTGTTGTAGTCCCAGCACTCCAGAAGCAAAGGTAGAAAGACTGGGAATGGCAGGCAAATGTAGTGAGACCTTGGGAGGTGGGGGAGTAAGTGAAAGATGATCGCAGAACAGGTTACAAACATTAGGTCTGAATATTTGATGGAACATATATGAAGATTTCTTAGGTGATATTTGTATCATTCTTTTTCATTTACTGATAATTTCATAATCTCTGGTGTAGCTGGTTGCTTGTGGGTTTGCTTTTTCTTCAAGCTGACTGTATGTCATTTGGGGGCAGAGTGTGTTTTTCTCTCCTCCATATATATTTGCTGCCAAGTATTAAAACAACAGTATGGTTCTATACATGAGTATTTTATAAGCATAGACTTTAAAAAGAAAAAAGCAAAGAGGAACCACTTAGAGTATATAGAGATGAAGATAAATCTTGGGTAGGGAGACAATGTTTCAAAAATTTTATCTTTCTTCAATTTACTAAAATTTGTTATAAAGAACTTACAAATGAAAAAACATTACACAGCAAAATGAACCAGATCCAATATTTATACATTTCAATGAAATCGTATAGTTAGAAAGCTTTCAGATGTGGAACTTCACATTGGAGTTTGTACTTTCATTCTCAGGTATTTACTTTGCACTTTGGCACTATCAAGAAATGAAAAATCCATGACAAAATTAAAACTAGAAAGACAGCTTTATATTCTTCCCTGACTCAAGTGCCCATTACCTACATTTTAATTGTTTTTCCTTTTTCTCCTTTCCCCAGGTTTCCATAATAAGCAGTAAAACAAAACAAACATGGGATCTGCCTTGAAAATGGACTTACTGTAGCAGATATTAACTGAATGATACAAAATGCATTCCACGTTGGCTGTTCTCCTTCTATGTGCCATTCCTGGGAATTATTCTCAAGTGTTTTCCTAACTATAAAAAATTTCAGTTCACTTCAAATATTTTGGTTATTCTGGTCACGTGGGCAGTGTAAGGAAATATAGCTTCTGAATATTGGCCACCTCTTCTCTGAATGGATTTCCTGGGATGTAATTAGAACTGTGTGAAATGACACTTGCTAGGTATAGGATATTGGCATCTAGGGACTAGGGTTTATTAAGCAATTAGAAGTGTACAGAGATAAATTATCAAGTAAATCATAACATTTTGATCAAAGAAAGTATAGTAAAGTATATGAATAGCCACTTTGTTGTTTATTAGTACGATACTTTGAAGGATATAGTTTTTGGTTTTTATCCTCCAGAAAAAGTAGAATCACCACAGTAAAATATAGGGAGAAATGCCCAGAGCAGTGGAAGTCGTCTGTTATTCTGAATGCGTGGATTGGAGCAGGAGAGGCTCTAGATAGCTGTGTGACCCGTTAGGAAAGTTGCTCTGGTATCGTTCTTGAGCACTGTGCTGCTATTTCCTCAGTAGCAAGTCTTTCTGAAGGCTTTAGGCAAAGCATCACGTGCTAATATTTACTAGTAAAAACCTTAATTATCTGATACTTTCACTCAGGTTCATGAAGAGTCAGCTGAAAATTAAAGAAAAAAAATAGCCTTTCATAGCCTTGATTTTCTAATTTAATTGTGGAGCCAAAGGAAATAGAACAGTTTTCCTAAGAGTTGATGCCATCAGTCTTACTTACTGTGTCCATCAAGCGCCTTGCTCCTAGGATGGAGCAGTTTTGTTGGCAACCTCTCAGTGAGGTTTTATGACCTGTCATAATTAGACTAATTCAACATGGAGTTGAATTGATGAAGTGAGTCATTATCCAGGTATATAGTTCTGCTGTTTTGTTGATGGCCGTTGTATTCCTTTCCACAAGACCTTTAAACTCCCCTTTAAAACTTCAGTCTTTGTCTGGCTGCTAATTGATAGAAGTGTTTATTTGTCCATACCACTTAGTTAATATAAATGCCAGCGAAGCTATGTCTATATCTGATTGACATCCTCCCAGCTGGACTTGCTGTTCTTGTCATTGTATGGATTTTTTTATTGTTGTTGTCATTTCAGTAAGCTGTTTTTTAGGAAGGGAGAAAATAGGTTGCTGAGAGAGAAATCATTTAGGGACTGCCTGCCTTCCATTTGCCTTGTCTTTCCAGAGGATTTTAACCTTGGGGAGGATTCTGGGCGGCTGCTCCCAACAGATTCTGACCTCTGATTGTCTGCCTTTGGTTTCATAAAGTTACATATGATGGAAATTTCAGTGCAAAGCAGCTAAGAGTGAAGCTGTGGGCAAGTGTTAATCTGAGAAGACACAGGCAGAGCGGTGCAGACATTTTGGGAGAGTGGAGAAGAGGGAACTTAGAGGCCTGAGTGTGGCCATGAAATACAGAGAGGAAGGTCTTCCTTCAGACAGATGGAAAGCCCAGCCTTAAGTCAGAGTCGGCACAATGGTTCCCATAGCAAAGCTTAGTCTTGTTGCCTTTGCTAATCTCTATCTTTCTTTATCTGCCCGGTGATTTTACATCATGTTTGTTAAAGATATTTTGTAATGGAACCTTAAAAAGTATAGTTGCATTTTTATTTGATAATTAGACAAAACAGGCAACCTCTTTTGCCATATTTTTGTTTTATAAATGTTTATTTTTCTATCTCATGAAATGGTCACTTTTACTTTAAAAATGCGTTTTTTTGGGGTTTTTTTTTGTTTTTTTTGCTTTTCATGTTCTTCAATTCATCATATTTATTATTGTAAAATGGACATGTTTCAGTTTAAAAATTCCAAGCCAGAATGCTGTAGGCTTACCTGTTGTGGTGGATGGCCAAAGGTGGTGCTGCCCTGGGATAGCCAGCTTAACATCAGTATTGGAAAACTTCTTACTTTTTAAAAGTTTTTTTTTTTTTTAAGGAGTAGAATTTTAAACTATTTTGTTTATTTTTTGTAAAGTAAACAGATTTTTAAGAGTATCAGTAATTATTTACCTATGACTAAGAAGATAGAAAAATGTTCTGAATTATTCTTAATGTTCTCAAATTTTTGCTATCACTCAAAAATAATGCATCTTTGAGATGATAGGAGCACCTACTAGTTCTTAATGAACTGCCACTTTTCACTGTGGTTTCTGCTTTTTAATTTGTCCTTTTGATATAAAAATGAAAGCATTTATCGTGTTCCTCCTGTTGTTGCAGTACACACAGCTTAATTGTTAGGTACAGGCTGTATTCTCTTTTGCTGTCAATATATAGACTTGTTCTTCTGGCCTTGAGAAGTCTTTTGTTTCTAAATTTCTCTGTAGGTCATGCCCTTATAACACCAGTATTACTGAATGAGCACAGTATGTTAAGGAGCCGCATCACAAGGCTACTTGACATGATACTCTCTCCTTCCCTTTCTTAAAGTTTTTTAACTGTTACTTAGAAAAGAGGGTAGTTAAAAGTCAGATTAAATATGCTGACTTGAAAGAAAATTGATTCCAGTATTCAGGGTACTGTATTCCAGCTACTGTTAGTCATATTTGCTTTGTTGGGAGAATAGATAACTGCTTCTTTTGTTCTCAAAGAATATTGAGAATTTTTAAAGTGACTCTGTCATTGAAATGCTGTGGGTCAAGTGATTTTATGACAAATGGCAGTATAGTAATGAACTAAAATACAAAACATCAACAACCAAACTATAGACTTTAGATGTCTTTGAGAAAGATCTAAAATATGAAGAGAGATGTGCATAGATAGACACTAGAAGAAACCTTTTCGTAGAGGCATTGGTCACAATGTCCTAGATAACCATATTCTAAAAATGTAACCTGTGTTCCATTGGACTCTTCAACACTGTCATAGCTTCTCGAAATCTGTTTGTGCCAAATTGAAAAAAAAAAAAAAAGCCAAGCTACTATAATATGGTGCATTAATTCTGTTTACTACCTAAGTGGTTAACATTTTAGAGCCTTGATTTTTAATGAGTAATACCTTTGTATAAAACTCACTTTGGGAAATATGAAGATCTAGTATTCTTGATACTTTTTTTGGTTTTTGAGACAGGGTTTCTCTGTAAAACAGTTCTGGCTGTCCTGGAACTCGCTCTGTAGACCAGACTGACCTTGAACTCACAGAGATCCACCTGCCTCTGTCTCCCCAGTACTGAGATTAAAGATATGTGTCACCACTACCTGGCTATTCTTGATACTTTTTAAGATAACTTCTGATTGGCTGAGATCATCAGCCTAATGAAGGGATGAGGCCCATGCAGAAATAACTCAGAGAACAAACAGAATAGAGCTTGAAATAAATGGCTTCTTCCATTTGGGGAGGACAGTGTTTGTGGGGGGAGCATTAATACTAAAAGGAAACATTACTCACCTTGATTTTACTGCCTATGTGTGCCATGGCATGTTCTTTTTAGAATAATCTCTAAAAAACTCAAAACCTGATCTTTCAGGAAAAAAAAAGATTTTTAAAGTATATAACGTGTGTGTTATATGCTGTTCATAGCAAAGATGTGTCACCCCACCTCTCTCCCTATCTGTTGATGCCTGTGTGCTTTAGAGCCATAGCTGTGTATCTGACTGGTGACAGGATGCTTATTTCTTCCTATGCTGTGGTAGGGCAATGTAGGCAGAGAGAGGCCTACTATCTGGTGTCCTATTAATGCTGCATGGAGCAGTTGTATCCAAATATGTTGTGGAAGTTTTTTGTTTGGCTGGTTTTTATCATGTAAGACAATTAAAGGGAAGACTCAGAGGCTTTTGTTGCTTCTGCTGTGTAATTCATCAGAAATGATCACTTTACTTGGAGGGTTTCCAAGAAAGCAAGACTAAGCTCGGAAAACATTAATAATAGAGTCATGTTTCTGATGAGCCCTGCACTTTATGTCAGCAATGTCTGTGAAGATCAGTTTTGCCTTAAATTACTTTAGTCCAACTGAGGCCATTGTGTTTGGTATATATAAACTCCTCCTGTGAGCGCTCCATTGGCATACAATTCATAGAAGAGCCTCAAACATCATCATCATCACCATCTGGAGCTTTGAACTTCTCGCACTGTACTTGGGTTGACTTATAATATTAATAGATGCATTTCTCAGTTCCCTGAGTAGCAGAGGCATGGCCAGAAGCATTGCAAAGGGAGAAGTCCCTGGCTGGAATATTCATACGCAGTGATAACTTTCTGAACAGTTGAGAGCTTCCTGTTCCATTTTATGGTGACTGTGCAAAAGATATTCTAAGGGTTATATGGTTCAGTGGCAACATTAGGATTATTTTTCAGAATTTTAGCAATTATCTTTGTGCATTGGAATGTTTATTTACCATTAACAAAAATAGGAGAAAACCAAACAAACTGGAGATACTTATTTGACATGGTGATGTGAAGAGTGTGGGAGTTGATTACTTATAAAAGAGATTAAGACAGAGAAGCTAGAAGAGCAGCTTTTAGAGGCCGTGTTTGATGCCACAGACAAGCACAGTCATGTAAGTAATCACACAAGTGTTTGCCACTGAAAGCCATTCTCTTCCCTTAGAAATCTGAGCACTGCTACTGAACATCTTCATCAGTGGTTTAATATGCCTTTGTGTGTTTGCAGCAAATAGAAAGTGGTTTTCTCTTTAAGTTGCTTTTCATGGTATGCTGATTTCAGCATTCTAGATCAGGGCAGAATTAATTATGTAACTGTATTGTAGGGTTCAAATATGAAAAAAGGTTTGAGTAACAAATCAGCAAGAATTGCAAACAGTAAAGAGTAGGCATTGAGAGGCTATATGGTGATGAATTATATACTTTGGGTATATTCTGCTACATTGAATTCAGACTGTAATTGCTGAAATTGATTCTAGCTAAAAATTTGCTAAGAGCATTGGGTATTAGAAGTTTTGTACTTCTGAGTAAATTTTCTCTAAATTCCCACAGGCTATAGCTTTAGCTCTGCGTAATCCGAAAAGCAGATGTCCTTTCTCAATGAAAGCTGTATTTTTCATGTAGCTTTTAATGAGCAACCAGATATTAATTTCATGAAATAATGTAAATATTAGAAAGTGGAAGGGGGAAATGGCATATAAAATTGACATTCTAAAATGACAAGTCTTTGTAATGCTGGGCATCTCCTAAGAACAATCTATCCCTGTAAAACATTTGAAAGGTGCTAGAATTGAAAGTACAAGTTTGTTACGTAAATCAAGTTTCTCAGGAAATTTGAGATGATACAGCCATTTGTCTTATAATTTGGAGAGATAATCTCTTGAGTTAAGCTCTGCAGGAAGCACACTTCATTTGTTAAGAGCCTTTTAGGTATGGTGAAGTAGATATGCTTATGAAACACATGAAATGAAATCCCAAGTGCTGGTCGGTTTATAGTCCAGGGAGTGGGGTATAATGGCTGTGAAGTACGTATTTCATGGAGCTGATCAGAACTTCAATAGAATATTGTCTCTTGTCTGAAGAAAGAGACCACCTCAAACCACATGCCTATCTAGAGATTGAGTAAAACTGTGAGGGACACTGTGTGAATGCCTTAAGGTGACTGGTGGAGGTACTGGTGGGCATGTATGCGCCCATCTGAATTAGGCTGTGGAAAACAGTCTATTCCAAACCATCTTCGTACAGCCCGAGTTGCTCCGGTCCATAACCTTGTTGAGGAAGATGAGAAATATGGTGCTGGCTACTTCATGTGTCTGGGAGGCTGACATCATTGGTTAACATCCCTAAGGCACTGTCCAGTGCCCAAGCCTTCCTTCAGTACCACTGTACATCTACATCAGTTCATCTATGCAAGCTTGTGTTTTTGTGGTTTGTATTTTACACCTGAACATCAGGTTTAGCATTGGTGTTATAAATAATTTTTAAACCAAAGTATTGTATGAGTAAATCTGTGTGCTTTGTTTCTGTGAGTGGTTTGAGGTAATTACCTATCTTGTCTTCTCTTAATAAAGTCATCCGTTTATCAAGTCAATGATGGCCTCCTGTTTTCATCACTACACTTGGAGTCTGTGAAAGTGATAGCAGTTTATTTTATTTTGCTTTACTTTTTGATTGAAGAACTCCACCTAGATCTTTTAAATACTAGTAACATTTTACCACTTCCGTGCTCTTTGGTTGAACTCACATAATATAATACTGTAACATTGTACAGTGAAATTTTCCACAAATAGTCCAAAATATACATCATCAAAGTACCCCTGTTTTGTGTGTGTTGGTTTGTTGACAGAATTGACATTTTGTGAGGGGGTGATACAAAAAAGGTAGTCTGTGGTTCACACAGTAACCCTATGACTAAATTTACTCGTACAACTCACTCTGTCTGGTAGACATCTAAGTGAATTTTGAGAAAATAGAATTATTAATTGACATTTATTTAATATTTTATCTTTATATGGATTGTTCTTACTGTTCCAATGACTGTGATGTAAAAACATTCTGCAGAAATAAATCTCTTTTAACAATATAATACTATTATCATTTACAACTGAATTTACTGTTGTAGACCCCTGTTGTGTTGGTTAACTTTTTGTCCACTTGACACAAGCTACAGTCAGCTGAGAAGAGGGACGTCAATTGAGGAAATGTCCCCCCATCAGATTATCCTGTAAACAAGTCACTGACTGGGACATTTTCTTAGTTGATACAACCTGGCCCCGCTCACTGTGGGCATTGCCTTCCCTCATAATCTTGGGGTGTATAAGAAGGCAAACACTCCTGTATTGTCTTAAAGTCATCCATGGATTAAGTCGGCGATGGCCTCATGTTTTCCTTATTGAATGACCAAGAATATCACAGCAGCGCCTCCCCCCCCTTTTTGATGAAATGGCACCAATAGATCTTTTTTAAAAATACTAGTAGAATTTTATCACTTCAGTGATTTTTGTTGTTGTTGTTAAACACATGCTGTACAGGGAAGTTTTCAACAAGTAGTTCAAAATATAACTCAAGAAGGTACTATTTTATGTGTGATGTTTGTTTCACATCTGAGACATTTGCAGAACTCTGAACTTCCAACTAGGGTTGAGATTTTGAAGTTATTTCACCTCCGTTTCAGGGGACAGACACACTGGTTATTTCCTCTCCACATTGCATTTGGGTCTCATGTTTTGACATGCAAACAAAAAGAAAGCAAACACAGTGTACTTCAGGAACCTATAGCCCCCGAATCTCTTTACTGTTGCTTCTGCGTGTAAGACTTTAGGGCTGACCACATAATATTGTGTAACCCATCAGGGGCACATCCCATTGGAGGTTTCTAGTCATGGTGTTAGTTCTGACAGATTTATGTTTCTACATTTCTTCGAGAGGAGTGGAAGTCACAGTTGCCCTACTTCTGGCACCACTCTTCATTTGTTTTAAGAGAATGTGGTGTTTTCTGTATTTGGGGCTGAACTTGCTTTATTACATAAAAAAACTTAGGGAATTAATATACTATCAAATACTTGTTAGCCACTAAATTGATTTCTTTCTTTTTATTTTTTTTTAAGACAGGGTTTCTCTGTGTATTTTTGGTGCCCGTCCTGGATCTCATTCTGTATACCAGGCTGGCCTTGAACTCACAGAGATCCATATGGCTCTGCCTCCCGAGTGCTGGGATTAAAGGTGTGCACTACCACTGCCTGGTGTTGATGAATATCTTAACTTCAGCATGATCTACAGGATATATTAGAAGAATCCATGGTGCTGTCAAGTGCCATGGACTGGCCCATCGGGGGTACCACGACCGTAGGGGGACCAGAGCTTGGGTAGTCAGGAAGGCAAGGATTCGGCGAATGACAGACAACACACTCAGAAGTGGTTTAAATCTGCTGCAATTTTACTTCTGCAAATCAGTAGTTTATATACAGAAAATAAAACTATCAAGTCATACAAGGAACAACAAGAGCTTGGCGATAATTCAATTACATCATCTTTAAAAAAACAGCAAGCACACAATTATTAATTGGCGCTAGACATATCCCTCCACCCACAAGAACTTTATGACCCAAAGAGTGGTCTGTGTTTTTTAAACTTAGTATGGTCCCTAGACTTGTGTAGGCTTCTTGCAGCTGTGTCCTTCATCTTTATCTCAGCCGCTCGCTAGTTTATTATTCATTTTTACTTTTCTGGTTCTCATGACCCACTTAGCCAATTTGGATGCTGCAGATCCTCCCTAAGTCTTTCTTTAGTTCTTTTATCACATATCTCTTTTAATATAAAACCTTTTTACCTGCTGGAATATGGACTCTTACACTTTTACGCCTGTAAGGGAAAGGGATTCTGCTGTAGTCCTTAAGTTTCCCATGCTAAACTTCCTCAACAGAGGGGCCCACCATCTGCCTCCTATGAGATAACGTTTTCTGCCATAAATCACTTTAGTTGGGATTCCTAAAGGATTCCTAGTGGGTGAGTGTCCATTCCCTAGAAGTGCCTGAACTGTTATACTTTCTATTATCTAGCAGCTTGGGGTCTTTAAGGAATAGCTCATTTTGCTATATCTAAATAAGGTCCATGTCCAGCTTTCCCTTTCCTCCATAGTTCACAACCCAAATATTCATTAATTTTGGCTGTGTTTTATAGATTAATTGGAACATTATCAGAAAAGCAGTTATACAGAACCCATAGCCCAGAGAGCTCATGATCTGTGAAGCACGTCTCCTTCAAGAAGGAGGCATAACACAGGCACTCTGCCAGGGACCTCCAGGGAGCTTAGTCCTGTGGGACACGTATCTCCCGTCCGCTATTATTGACATAATTGTTCATGTCACACGGACGACACTGGAGTTGGTGTGGCAGTCAAGATTATTAAAGCTGAATAGGATGATGCTATTATGTACATATAGTATGAAAAGTTGATAATGAAAATTTTAAGTTAACTATAGAGAGGGAAAATTGTGTTTAGGAATTACAGAGGCTATATAGAGAATATTCTTGATTTTGAAAATTTTGTTAGAATTAGGTATTCTAAATAATTATGAAGCAAAATTTTATAAATATAGTAAACTTCATATACAGTTAACTATTTTAGCTCTCCACATTTATGTAACTATATATTAGCCCCAAAATTCTCTGCTTGTATCTTTGTAAGTATGTTTATTGCCTCACTTATTTTTCTGCCTATATCTATGTGCCTATGTATATTTCACCCCTCTATTTCTCTGTCTGCATTTATTTATGTTATGTATCACTTCTCCAATTTATCTGTATCTATGTACCTGTGTGTGTATCATCCCCCATTTCTATTCCTGTGTCTGTGTAACTGTATGACTCTTTGCCCCATTTAATTTATGTACCTATTTAACCACACCCCCATTTCTCTACCTGTTTCTATATACCGATGAATTTATAGCCCCCTAGTTTCTCTGTCTATTTCTGTGTATCACCCCTGCCAATTCTGTCTCTCCATATACTCAAATATTTTAAAAGTATATTCAACAGTATCACTTCACTAATAATACCAAGAAACAATGAATGACTCAGTAGAAATAACTCCCATTCATGGTCATATTGTTATTTTATATAATACTTCCTACAAAAAAGGCAACAAGCCTTCACACACACACACACACACACACACACACACACACACACACACACACACACACGCTGGTCAGTTTTGGCTTTTAAATATATAAGATGAACGTAAAAAAAATTGCACTTCTCAAAAACAAGCAGGGAGCATGTCTGGAGAGATAGCTCAGTAGTTATCACACTTGACTTGCAGACCAGAGAACTTTAGTGTGGATGCCAAGAACCAATGTGGAAGAAGAAAGCAGTAATTGAAGTGCTTATGATCCCAATATCCCCTGCCTGAAAATAGGAGGTGAAGACAGGAGAATAGCTGGAAGCATTCGTGTGAGCCAGCATGGTGTAAGCAATAGTGAAAAATGCATGTCTCACACTTAAGATTATCTCTCCCAACAAACATGCAAAAGTAAAGATAGTGCCTAACTGGAAGCTTCATCTGTCCATACCGACTAGCATTTATGGAGTTACAAAGTACTTTGCATGGATCAGAGAAGAAAGGTAATCCTTAATCCAGTTACTAAGCCTACACAACATTGACCTCCCTGTAAGATACACTGGTGCAGTACTGGCACAAATATTATGGTAGTAACCAATCACTTTGTGATTGAATTTAAGTCTCCATGAGTCAGAATGATCCCATGTTTGACACTGTTGAAGTGGTCAAGAACCTGAGACGAGGTAGGGCATGGGCTAAGGGGAAAACCAAACACATTATTCTGCCAAACGAATATAGCTATCATTAGAGAAGTTGCTTCTTGCAGTAGATAGGAACTAACATAGACAAACAACAATTGCAGAGAGTGAGAGACTTTGGAGCATTCTCAAATGGGATGTCTTTTACCAACCCGCTCCAAGGTTCAGGGTGTGGAAGAGGGAGTGGAAAGATTGGTAGAGCCAAATGTGATGGATGATTACAGGGAAACAGTGTCTTCATACACAACAGACCCGATGCATAGATTAACTCACAGAGACTGTGGCAACACATATTAGGCCTGCACAGAGGGGGTCCCAGCACTGAGAATGGAAAGGGAGTGTGGGTTCCCACACATAATGAAGAGGCTATGTGCAGTTGATACCCACCAGAAGAGGAAAGTTAGTCTCCACTGGATTCTCACTGGGTATATTAACCGCTCCTCAGGGCAGCTCCATGCCCAGGAGTAGGAGGCTAACACAAAACCAATTAAATGGTGTTTTTTGGAGATTTGTTTCATTTTGCTTAGTTTGGGATTTTTAAAAATCTTATTAGTTTCTTGTTTCTGTATTTTGGTTTTTGTTTTTGTGGAGATATTTTGTGTACCTGTGTGTAGGTGGTCTGTTTCTTGGTTTTGTTGTCCTTTAAAGAGAGAAAAAGAACAAATATGGGTGGGTTAGAGAGGTAGAAAGGATCGTGGAGGATTTGGGGGAATGGGAAGATGATCAAATTACATTGTATAAAAAACATTTTTCAGTAATAAAGAAAAGGAA